CTGCCTCTATACAGATTGTTTCTAACTCTTTTGATGTATACTCACTCCCATTGTCACTCCTCACCATTTTGATACTCAAACTAGTTTGGTTTTCAACCAGCAGCCTAAACCTCCCAAAAACTCCAGCCACTTCATTTTTTTGCTTCAAGAAATACACCCAACACATTCTAGACTTATCATCAATGAACAAGACAAAATACTTACTCCCATTCAAAGAAGATGTTTGCATAGGTCCACATACATCCGTGTGGATGAGTTGGAGTTTTTCTACAGCTTTCCAAGCTTGGTTTACAGGAAAGGGTGGTCTGCTCAGCTTGCCAAGTTGACATGCATGGCATATGGATTTAACTTCATCAATTTCAAGCATGTTCTAGACTAGTTGTTTGGTCTGAATTTATTTGAGGTCGTGGTAGTGATAATGGCCAAAACGTTTATGCCAAATTTCAGATTCATCTAGCTTAGCACTATGAGCTTTGAATTCCAATTTTTTCCAGTCAATGGGAAAGCTTTTTCCCATCATTCTAACCCTCATAAGTTCACAGCCTTCACCATCTAGTATTTTACAAGATTGATTCTAAAAATGGAGGACATATTTTCTCTCTAACATTTGTCCTACACTAAGTAAACTTTGATTTATTTCAGGAAATAGTAAAGATCTCTCTAGGTTCATTAATTTCATAGCCTGACTCCGTACTGGAAACAAAAAGTGGAACTTTATCACTAGTATAAATTGTAGCAACAAGTATCCCCAAAGTACCCAATTTTCTCATTCATCGATATCAATGCATTTGGAATGTTGAGCTTCTATCAAATTTTGCATCCTTATAATAATTGATTTGAGAATGTATATATGTATGTCATGGAAATATACAAATGTATAATAACAAATTAAAAAGCTACTTACTTTAGCCCGCATTGCCACAGCCTTGACCCTAGCAACTCCAATTGATGAGCTCTTACCCTTCAAGATTTTAGAAACATTTTAAGTCAGAAATCATAATGCAAGAATGTGATTCAGGAGAATTGTTGATGCGTGATTCTAACACCAAGTAATCGACACGTGCGTAACGTTGATTGGTCAAGAGACACACGTGATTATGGATAGAAAAATGTGAAATAAATGCAATGAGAACTTTTTAAAGTGGTTCGAATGCTAAGGTAGCAAGTCCTACGTCCACTGATTTGTATTAGTATGGTGGGTCAGGTCGCAACAGCGGACTGACTTACAAATGATTAGGAAAAGTAAATACAAAATTTTCAAGAGAGAGAGAGAGAGAGTTCAGGTGTAAAAATGGCCGAATCCCCTTAATGAAGAGGTCTTCTCCTTTTTATAACCAGATGAGGGCGTGTAATCATCATTAAATCCATGGGTTGGTGTGAGTGTCAAGACATAATCCGGCTTTACGTCCCATTGCCCACTTCCTAAGCTGATTTCACGCGATTTATTGCAGGGAAATGGACACGTGGGAGCTCCATAGCGTTTGGCAGACCTGACGTGCGCTTACCGTTCTGAACGGAGCAGGTCACACTTCATCACGTGACTCCCCCACGTCAGCCCTTGATTTCCCAGGCATAACAAGAATTAACTTAGTTATAAGGATACCTTGATTCTAGCATCTAGACGCTTGAACATTGGAGCATTCTTTAACATGTCCGATATGATCATAAACCTATATAAATTTCGTATTGTTTTCAAAATAATTCGGTCAATATGGTAACAGGTGACCAAATATCTCAAGTTACAACACAGTTAGCTTGATCACTATGACCAAAATAGTATATATGATATAACACCTGACTTTGCTACCCCGAATGAAAACATGCTCAAGCTGTGAAACCTTTCCATCCTGTTGAAGAAGAAACTGAATTCAGTAACCGATGGGTACGAAATGAAAGATAAAAGCAAATATGTGAAGAGAAAGTAATCACAATAGCAGGGATAATAATTATGAGTGCACTATAAAAGCAAATAAGAGATCCAATCCAACTCATGTAAGAACTAAAGCCATTACCCATGAAAAAGAAAAGGCACAAGATGGTTTATGTTATTTTGATTGGGGTCTTTTGTATGTTTTCGTTTGATTTAATACTCTTTGTATGGTAAATACTTGTGGAGAAGAAAGCAATTTACCAGCCAATTTATCAGCCATGAACACACGACCATCCACTGTAGTATTGGTGAGTGATCCACAGCCTAGGAGGTAATTATCTTTGGGAGCAAATTAACAACAACCAAAACATGCTAAACACAAGACTGACAAAACCCAGATTAACAAATGAAACCCTCTACAATCCATCATAAGAAAGTCTTGAAATTGATTAAGCAATAAAAAGCTTGGTCCTCTTAGAGCTTACAATGAAACAAAATCTAGGGTTGCAATACAAAAATAAAAATACAAAAACTTATTGCTGCTAATTTAAAACACAACTGGAATCAATAACCCATGTAGAGATACGAATAAAGAAGAGAAAATATGTCACCTTGAAGATCATTCAAGCTCCAAAAAAGAGAGAGAGGACTTAGATTTGTGAATTCACAAGTAAACAGCAAACTCTGAGGACCCTTTTGGAGTATTTGAGAACGTTAACTACATAATAGGAAAATATTGAAAACAAAAATAGTGGAAACAAATCTAGCCAAGTGCGTCGATTTCCGACAAGGGAGGAACGCGTCATCGATTTCCAACGAGGGAGGAACGAGTTGTCGCGATTTCAGAGACTAGAGTTGCGATTTCAGCAAGGGATGGTTGCGATTGGCACGTGTCATCAAGATTGAGTTTTGATTTGTGATTTTTTTCAGATTTTCGCGATTTCATTCAAATTTTTTCAGAGTTTTTTGCGCGTAGAGGAACTGAGGAAGAAGAAATTGCGCAGCGCAAAGGGAGAAATTAAGGTCTTTTTCGTTTTTCAGTTGGACCAGTTTTTCTTGCAGTCCAGTTGGACCGACAGTCCGAACTGTTCACGCGGTCCATTATAGGTGAAAACGGTTTATTGCATAATAGCGGGTTTAATGTTGACTCGAACTGGACAAGTAACCGGTTCACGGTCTAACCGGTTGGACCGGCCGGTCCGGTCTGACTTTTAAAACAGTGCTCTAACCCTGACACTTGGTAACTTCCAAGCCGCCGCAACCCCCCCCCCCCCCCCCCCCCCCCCCCCCCCCGGTTGGCCCGTCGTGACTTGCAAATCCAATCGCGATTGGGTTGATTTTTCGACCAAATTTCGATTGATTATAACGTAAAAAATACAATCAGACACCACCCCTTAAACCACCAGCCTTTATTATACAAAACCCTTCTAACCCCGGCACTTGATAGCCCCTTGTTTGTCCACAGTCAAATTAGGGATTTTGGGAATAGTAAAAAGCCGTAACCCAACCCAAAGAAGGCCTTGGGTCCCAATTAAACCAGCCAGTCCGGGCCGAGTTCCTAATCATTGTTAAAAACGATGAACTTGATATTTTTTATAGGTATCAGTTGGTCCCAAACTTGTTCTATCAACGTTTTGATTCAATTATAAGATAATACTGTCAAACCCAGAATTCAGATTATGTAAAAGAAAATTCAGAATTCCTTAAACAACAATGGCTCCGTTTGGTTCACAATTTTGTGCTTTTGGGAAAAGTTTTTTGAAAAAAGTTAAAAAAAAAAAGTTGAATTGGGCGGGTATTACAATGTAGGATTTACAAATTGTAAAATACCCCCTATGTTTGTTTTTTTACAAAACACCCCTTATAATAAAACATTAAAAGTTAACAAAAACACCCCCAATCCACTCTCAAATACGGATAGCCGGCCACCACCGCCGGAGGGTGACCGGAGTCGCCGTAACAAAAACATTAAAAATATTTAGGGGTATTTAATTGAATTAACAAATTTAGGGGGTTTAAAAAATGTTGAATAAAGTTGAATAATATTGTGAGTTTTTAGGGCTCCGTTTGGTTGCCAATTGGGAATACTACTTTTTGTATTCCCAAAAAAGTTAAACAGTAAAATACCCAAAAACTTTGATTTTTGGGAATACTACTCCCAATATTATTTAACTTTTTTTAAACCCCTTAAATTTGATAATTTAATTAAATACTCCTAAATATTTTTTTAAAAATTACAAAAACACCCCAGTAATTCATATTTACCAGATTCCGGCCACCACTGCTGGAAAAGTGCCGGAATCTGTTAGGATGGCGCACTACCGGCTGAATCTGGCCGGTAGTGCGCCGATCTAGCCTTTTCCGGTCAGATCCACGGTGGATCTGGCCGGAAAAGGCCAGATCTAAGGCCAAAGATCTGGCCGTTGACGGCCAGATCTTTGGCCGTAACGGTTTATAACGACGGCCAACAAACGGTCGTCGTTGACCATCAACGACGATCGTTTGTTGGTCGTCGTTGACGAGAAAATACGGCCAGATCTGGCCGTAGATCTGGCCTTTATCGGCCAGATCCACCGTAGATATGGCCGACAAAGGCCATATCGGCGCACGACCGGCAAGATCCAGCCGGTCATGGCCAATACGGTGAACCCGGCCACCCTCCGGCGGTGGTGGCCGGCTGTCCGTATTTGACATTGGGTTGGGGGTGTTTTTGTTAACTTTTAAGATTTTATTATAGGGGGTGTTTGTAAATAAACAAATATAGGAGGTATTTTATAATTTATAAATCCTACATCGTAATACCCGCCCAATTCAACTTTTTTTTAACTTTTTTCAGAAAACTTTTCCCAAAAATACACAATTGTGAACCAAACGAAGCCTAGGTATTTTACTGTTTAACTTTTTTGAGAATACTAAAAGTTCCCAAAATCCAACCAAACGAAGCCAATGTTTCTTAGTTAACTTTTACCCGTTTATTACTTCTAAAACTTATTGCAAATTGAAATACACCGGTTTTTTTATATTTTACTTTTCCTAACATGGGTGTTTGATAATCAGATTAAGTTGAGTATAGTACTATAGTTTGTTAAGCACTGATCATTACATCTGCTACTTTCAGTATGCAAATAACATGAAAAGAATCGAGTTACACGGAGAGCAGGCCTTGGCTCAGCTTAAAATCCGTTTGTGAACTGCATCTCATAAGACTGCTCCAAACATACATCAATACAAATGAAGAAAATTACATTAGCATAAAACTGAAATTACAGAACTTCATATTAGATTGGTTTTCAGTTTTCTTGACCAAAAAGGAGTATGAAATAAACTATATTGAGCAGGGAAATGAGTACACAACAAATTTAACTCAAGATAATAATAATCGCATGGTGTACATGGATGATGACAATACGCCCATGAAAAACACATTGGAACTGCTGAAATGCTGATTAAAAAGCATTGTTATAGAAACAAGAAAACTTAGCTGTTCATTTCACTTGTACTCAAACGATGGCACCGGAGGAGCATCAAAACTCTCCAAGACCTCTGTCTTACTTCCACTACTTTTCTCTGATTCCTCCTTTTTACCACCAAAATAACCTCCAAACCAAGAAGAAGATGAAGACGAAGATGACGATGGACTCTCAACCATTGACGGGGCTTGACCTGGCAATTGCCCCACTGGATATCCAGGTACACCAGCCATGTTTGGTACTGATTCTTCCATGACGGGGATATTCTGAGGTGCACTCAGAACCTTATTTAACATGATCCCAGCTCCTTCAATCAAAGCAAGTAAAACCCCACCAAAAACTGCTGATCTGGAAGCAGCACCAAATCCCTGACGCATTGAAAGGAATCCTCCAGTGGCAGCACCAGCTATGATTGAGTTCCACGGATCCTCTTTCTGTCGAACATAGACCATTGTGCAGTCAAAAGTGGAGAAGAGGCCACCCCACACAGCAAAACTACCACCAACACGAGGTGCATTCATGCGTACAGCTTGAGAGCCTCCAACTAAACGTGAACCGGAAGGAGAGTTATATATGCCTTTTATGAAATGGAATGCTGCACCTCCAACTGCACCCATTCCAAATGCACCGCCAACATCGTCAAGAATACGATCAGGACATGGCTCTCGAGAGGTTTCTGGGGTCCCCATAGACGAAGGAAAAGAAGATAAATCTAGCACTCCTACAAAGCTGCACCTAAATGGCAAGGAGAGGGAAAGAAAAAAAGGGAGATTAAAAACCTCGCACCTGATTAATTTTAAATATGCAAAAATTGGCAGCATCCATAAATATATAAGATTTTGGTGTTTCATGCAACAAACTCAAAGAGGCTTATTACTTTTTACACAAATCCTAAGTTTTCTTTGATTAAACCAATCAAGATACTATCAGATAATACATATCATATTTAAGCAGGTACCCATCAAAATCCACAAAATAATCAATTTAATAATAACAATCTCTGAAACAATACTCCTAACAAATAAACACAAATTGCAAAATTAAACCCCCGATCAGAACAAAATCCAAGCTATAAATCAATGTTCGATATCAATCCAACAGCACTTTTTCAAAATGGAGAGCTCTCAATGAGCTAAATTCAATAATTAAGTTTTCATTGAAACATTTACACAATAAACATCCATCAGCGATTATGGTTTCCAGGGAAGTAAAAAAAAAAAAAAAAAAATCCATTGTTGAGCTGAACCTATGTAATTTGTAATCAAGATTTAATTAAAAGATAAAAAAATTAAACGAAATTAAAACCCAAGCATTCCAGAAGTTACTTAAGATTAAAAAATAAAGGGGAAAGTAAAAACTAACAAGAAAGCTTTCTTCTTTTTCCCGTAATTTACTTTTCAAAAATAAATAAATTGTTTCATAATATTTCTAGTATTTTCTCAGGAAGAACAAAAAGTAATCGAATCGGAAAGTACCTGTAGAAAATCTAGTTTGATCAGACGAAAAAGAAGGCAGGAGAACCAGTCACAGCAATCGAAGGCGAACCGATTAGGGTTTCTCTTTCTTCTTAGTATGAATTTTACCCACGTGCAGAGCACGCTAGTAATTTCAATTATTACATTCAGAGCACCCTTAACTTATAAAATATTCAACTTTACCCAATGTTTGTGGTTTATATTTTCGAACAATGACCCCACCTAGTGAATTCTTTAGTCCATTAAAAGACGGAAAAACTTGAAAATGAAAATGGAAAATGTTTACACCCAAAACCTCTTTTCATAATTTTGATATACCAGTTTATAATTGGTCAACTCATAATAGGTCAACTCATAATAGATCACACCGAATAAATTATAATTGACCAATTGGGAATTACCACGTTAAGATTGTGAGAAAAAGTTATAGGTATAGCATTACTCATGAAAATATTTCTTTCATCCATTTTTTTATGACTAGGGTGTCTAGGATAATTTGTGCGTACCTTAACTAATTTTTCGGAATCTTAAAACTATTAATCAGACAAAACCTTCGATACACACTCTTATTAGCAGCCGTGGATACTCAAATTCGGACACCATATTAAAATATTCCTTTCATCGTTTCTTATTTTAATCATATCAAGAGTGATGATGGGCGTAATTACAAACAAAACATGTCAAATATTAATTTATTGAATCACTTTGCTCAAATTGACTTTCGTCTTATGAGTCTTATCCTCCTTTTTAATGATGCATGTATGTATGGTCAATGTGATGCGTTGGATAATTAGGTAATACCCAACTTTGCATCGAGGTTACTGGTGTTTCTTCTCTCAAAAGCCATATCCCTGTAGTGATAATCTAGTGCGGCTTGCGACGTTTTCACATTAAATTTACAGCAACTATGTGTTTTTTGTTCGTTTATATGGGCGGTGTGAAGTTCTTGCATCAAGTCTTTAACTTAAAAGGAAATGAAACCAAAATGGCATTTTAATTTTAAGAACTATTAGATGGACGATGATAGAGAATATGATCGTGACAAAGGAGAAGAAAATACTTTTGAGTTATATATACAAGCAAAGTAACTTTCGTTCACATAACTAGGCAAATTCTACATATACAAATAAGAGGAAAAATTAAGCAAGTGCTACAGTTGGATAATGGAATTTGAGCCATATAAAATGTTGAAGTCCATGTGGGATTCATCCAGTTAAAGCCTTTCTGTGTTCACTGCAACAAACTGAAAACAGTCAAAGCCTTTAGTACTATGCTGTAATGTGAGCCCAGCAATTAAAATTTGAGCACCTCTTGATTTACGAGAAAAGTGAACTCACATGGAAGAGTTGAAAGTTCAGAGCTTTTCAGTACCAGCAGCTTCTTCGCTGTGGATATGAACATGCTGCACGAATTTTGTAACTGAATTAATGGTTATGGTTTAGGTTATGAAAACGTTTGAAGTTTGATGATTTAATTAATTTAATGTAAAAAGCAAAAGACTCAATAGTGGGAATTTGCTTACTGCCATGGGACATCACCAACAAGTATCCTGTCTCCTTCGTTGTCCTCGTAGACTAGAGTATATTCATCACTCTTAGCTACTGAACTTGCGATTAATTCCAATTTTTTGGTCTTGTTTTCGTTTCCAGCAGTAGGAGGAACTCTCTGAGCTAAAATTCAAAAGCAGAAACTAATTTATAACCACATATCTATAACAAGAAAGCACTGGGACTAAACATCAAATGGAAGAAAGTCCATTGAGAATCATATTTGAAGTAATGAAATTGAACAGAAAACCTAATTCACTGTCTAGAAGTGAGTCTGCACCTGCAAGTAAACCTTTGAACAGTTCATCAATAGCAAAGGAGAGCTCCTCATAGCTGTTATAGGCACTGAGATTTATTTTCCTTCCAATGGGGACTCCTTCCATATTGATCTTGACAAACAAATTGTTTTTGGAACTTTCAGATTTCGCACCAGTCCCCTCCTTCAGGATTTCATTTGGTAATTTGGAAGCTGGCTTTGACAAGCTGCTGTTTGCAAGATTTTTCCTGCAAGAACGAACTGGAGGCCATCCAACTACTGGAGCAACTTCACTCCTGTTTGTATTCAAGGAACAACCAGAGAAGCAGAAACGAGAAAAAAAAAATTAGTGACTTTAGCAAGAGGTCTTTTACTAAAATCCCAACTTAACCAACATATTGGAAGAATAATCCTGTCCAGTATTTCAGCTCTAGTTATTAGCATAAGATTGTGAAGAATTTGCTGTAAGATTCTATATTGCCTGTCTTTTCAAACACTACTTCTCACCTTTCACTGAGTTTGGTATTGGTTGTCTTAGAAATATGAATTAAAGCAGGAGAGTGCCAGCAAGAAGAATATTTGCAGTAAATTAAAGTAGAGGAAACATGATAGTAGTTTTTTCCTTTCTTTGTTTGACCATATTAATTAATTCAAATTGTAGATTAAGCATCCCCAGTGGGATCCTTAAATTCAAAGACTGGTTTGCTTTCTATGAAACAACAATTAACAGAATGATTATGATTAATTTCTATCATATGAATGGAGGGGAAAGTAAGAGAAGTACGATAACCTTTTATTGGAGCCATTGGTCATAGGTGTTTTTGCAGTAACTGAAGAAGTATCAGAATTAGAACAAGACTTCTTATCTAGGCACTGTAGCTCTGCCACTCTAGAGCCACATGGCTTCGAATTTGATGAATCCTCTGCTTTACCAGCCAACCCTTTGGACATTAATGTGTCCTCAAATGCTCTTTTGGCTCCATGGACGCCGCTATTGATGTGACCAAAGAAGAGTGGAGACTGGTCTTCTCCAGGAGGACCAAGCCTCAGTTCCAACTTTTTGTCCTCTAATACTGAGTTTCTGTTGAACAATTGAGGATATTTTTCCATATCTCTTTGTTTATGAAAGAAAGGTAAATGAAAGAGACTTGGATGGAAATAAACTGTATATTTGTTCAGTCCTTGTACAGAAAATGTGATTTGAGTAGAGAAAAATACTGAAAATTTATAACATACGAAGTCGCAAAAATTTCAATCAAGAAACAAATTGGAATCATTTTGATGAAAGTGAGAAGAAATGATGGAAAAGCGAGGAGTAATTGAAATGAGAAAAGTAGTACCAGAACAAAAGCACTATCAAATACATTTAATGGCACACTCACTCTCGGTCCTATCACAGTCCTCAACTTTCCTTGGAAAAGAGAATTATAACAGCCGACGATAGGCCACACATGGCATAACTTAGAGAGAGATAAAATCCTGTACTGTACTAAAATGGCAAGCTAGCAAGTGTTGATCTATAACGAGTGTTTCTTTTGACTTCTGTCAACTTTCGTTCTCAAATTCTGCTGGAGGTCAGGATTGGGCCAACAAGAGGAAAATGCTGCGTGATTCCTTGGCTAAACCCCACTCCAGAAGGGGAAATAGAGATTTACACACGCAAACTATTAACAAGACATAAATGGAACTTGTGACACATAATATCAGTAATATCCAAGAAGCTAAAGGTAGTCTGCACTTCAATAATGCTCTCTGCGAGTTAATGCCACCTGACCAGGAAAACATTATTTGTCGAGGTCGATCGGTAAATGACATACTAATTAGCCCGTCAAGCTCAAGTTTTTACACTTAAATTTCTAATTAAGCTGCTATAGGACATGATTTGACATGATTGTGCAGAAGTTAATAGGTTTGATAATCAAATGTGGCTTAATTTTGTTTTCTCCCGACGACTCGAAATTTCCCACTACGGAGAAACCAAGTCAACTGCTTTATGATTGCACCAACGATCCATCTGTTTACTGTAGCTCCGGCCATGCTCACTATCTTAATGGTAGCTGCTGACACTCAAAAATGGACACCCACGAACCAACGTGCAAGTTGACATGCAACACTTACCTATAATTGTACAAATTTACGAGAGAGCAGCCACACTATATTAAAACATGTTGAATATCTTATTTAATTTGCAGGCATGCTTGTTACAGATGTGTATCCGCGTTTCAATTTTGGCCGTGGGTGGAGAAGACAAACTTTGTTAAGTTTCGGAAATATTGAAAGTAATGGAAAAGTAGTTCAATGAATATCAACTCAGTTGTCATCATCACTAGCATATAACAACCACTTTTGGATTCACCATATGTAGTAGTGGAGTGGTGGTTCCCCACACTCCACTTTTTTAGATACTGATCGATTCCCGCCATGATTTTTTGCAACTTCCTCACGTGAGATGAGCAAGCTACTCCTTTTAGACCTTTTTTGCTTTATTCCCTCCCTTTCACTTTTTCTTTCATTTTCTTGATTCTTTTTATCATTATTACACCTTTGCCTGCTAACCCGCCAACCAAAAATCTCTCTCTTTTTCCATTTCTCATCTCCTCGCAGCCACTCCTAATGTTTTAGCAAAGTTAAGATTTCTCTTGTTTCAACACCTGTATTATGCTACCAAATAGTCAACGCTTAAAGCTATTATATTGAATGATAATTACAAGTAAATATCTGTTATTGTATACCTTAAAAAAGACATTAAAAATGTTTTAGGGTAATGTTAACATAATCCATGTACACCTCATCATTGTAGAATCCAATTAGAACTAACAAAAAGTATAACTGAAGATATTTTGTTATTAAGATAACTCATATCCATGCTGACCAACGTACGTTAAGCTAACAGCCTGTAAAAATAACTGAAGATATTTTGTTATGAAGATAACTCATATCCATGCTGACCACCTGTAAAAACAACTGAAGATTTTTGTTATGAAATATCCATTATCTGACCGACGTTATTTAAGCTTATATAAAGCCTGTAAAACTCTCTTGCTGTATAATAAAATGCTTCAAAGTCGTGTGCTTCTTCCTTGAGTAGGCTACAATTTGGTAAGGGTTTTTTTTTTTTAGCAGAAGATGGCTCCCATTACTGGCGTTGTATTTATTACTCTGATTGATTGTCTATAAGAAAAAAAAAATTTTGCTATTTGGGATTGTTTGGTTATATTATTTTAAATTTACTTTCATATTCCTAAAAGATCTCTATTTGATTAAAATATTATTGTAAACTTACATAAAGTTTAATAAACCCTACTTCCTGCCGGAACAACTTGCTAGATTCCTGGCTTCTCTGAATGAAAAAAATAAAAAGAATTCTAGTACAGCTGTTGCAAGGATGTTCGGCACAAAAGCAATTTTGGATTCAGAAATAGCATTATTTACTCTTCATCTTATATCACTCGATCATTATCAAATCGATTGCAATTTTTTTCTATTCGTGAGGATCCCACTCAACGAGTCCAGAAGAAGTGATCCCGTTTCTTTCATCGGGTCTAGGTAGAGACCAAAGGTCATGATCCGGTAGAACAACTGATAAGATAAAAAATTATCATTATTTACTCCGAGGTGTAACCCTAAAATTCCGTCTGTTTCCTGGGTTTGGAAAAGTGCGAACACAACCTCATGCCAAATCACAAGCACAGCTACAACAACACACAGATGTCGAATTCACACGAGATAAAATCAAACTTTGGAAAAGCTGAAGTTGCATTAATATTATTATTATTATTATAAGTAATAACCAAGACGTATACAACTAATTAACTAGATCATAAACTTAAACTTATACAGCACATATATTTAAAACACAATTCCGTGAAGTTTTACTCTTTTCTGCTCAACTACAGCGAGCTTAGGAGTAACTAGCTAGTACAGATATATGACTTATCTGCAGATAGGTTCTTCAAAATATCAGTATATTGCGTGCAAACTGATTATGCACTCTCAGCTTACCCAGCTTCTCTCACCATCTAACAAAAAGATCAAGCACAGCACAATATATTACTAATTTGTGAAAGTTAACATACAAATAAGGAAAGAGTGGAGACTGTAGAGGGACCTGGAAATAAGTTTCGAGCCGCGTCCTCAAAACTGCATGTTCTTGCTTGACTAGTTGAAGAGTCCTACTGCAACTGCACAATTGAATGAGATTGAAAATTAAGCATAAATTCCGTTTACTTAATTGAAAAAAGGATGAAAGAGATTAATTACCCTTCGGTATTTTCGGCACTGCAGTATTCTTTTAATTGTGTGCACGCATCATTCACCTTTTTAGCTCCAATGCTACAAATAAATTATTATATACCCCATAAAGCAAATTATTTCACAATATGTTCAAAAAGTTGTTCTATAATTACATGGATCTTCATTTAGTTTTCGACAAATAGAGTTTAATAAAGAAGAAAATATAATTAATAAATTCTAGGGTTTTTGTGTTACGTATATACCTGGAGCTGCTACCCTTGAACTGATGCAATATTTCTTCCAATCTCACAAAATCTATAGGCCTATTGACCCTGCTTACATCAATACAAACGAAATTAAATTTGTCATCTCAAGGGTATTTATACACGAATATGAATAAATTCCACTCACAAAGTCTGTTCCATATTCTGGATCAATCTTGCAGAATCATTGTAGTACAACGTAACAATTTCCTCTACAAAATTAGGGTTTGCATCATCTTGCAATTCCTCCAGCTGAGTGAATTGCTCTCTATCAAGGTACCCCTGCAACACCATTTAAGTCAAATTAAGTTATCCAGATTCAACCATTAGGGTTTCTAATAAATATGCAACTGCCCTTAATCAAGAATTCAGGATGTACGAAAAGCAGACTATTCAACTGAAATTTCCCTGTTTGTAAATTGAATCTTCGTTACTAGCTATATCACATTTCAGTCGCACAAGTAATGCTTTTACAAATTATCATGCGTTCTAAAAATATACGAAGGGTGATTGATATAATTTAAAATTTATTTTTAGAGTAAAAAAATTTAAAAAAAAAATTAAGAAAAAAAAAGAAACCATAAAAAAAATTTTAGCTTAACGATTGAACGTCTCACGTTGAAACTTTTCAAACTTCCATAATAAACTATTAGCAGATTTTTTCGAACGAACCAGTACTTAAAACAAGTGCATTTTATGAAGTCGTGAAGAACAATGAACAACGTGTGCGGATTTTCTTTTGAAATTCGATGGTCGGCATCCGTCATCAACCTCAGGTTTTGTGTTCGATTTGTAATCCAAATATAATTTTTTAGCTTTATTTTCGTGAACGAAAACTATGAAAAATATTTTTGTAAATATGAAATTAGGTTTAAATTGCGAATTAACAACTTAACAAATGTAGGTGTAACCTGATCAAAGAGGGAGTTCTTCATGTAGGCAACTTGGCGTAGTAGGTGATTTCTGTCCATTCTTGGAGAAGCGGTAAAACACTCGAGAATTGAATAAGACAATAAAGGTTGTGGGATGAGAAATTTATATTAATTCTATTCTAAGAAGTAAGAAATGATGGGTTTTTTAAATACTATACTATACTATGCTATACTGCTCTATAGTAAAAGCATAGCAAGCCAAAGGTATTTATAGAATATTAAAGGGAAGGGAGAGAGAACCACTGAAAAAAGAAATAAAAAAAGACAGCAGGTGTACGTGGCAAAATATACCAATCTTAGTTAGCTGTTTAGAGATGGCCAGATAGCTGCATGAAGATTCTGAATCCTGCTTACTTGGCAACCAGTAATTGGATCCAGTTTCTTTTTTCTTTTAATCATCAAAGTTCCTAAACTAGTTTCCGTACACCTCAATTAATTTTTTAAGACCTTAAAAATTTGACTAGATAATCTTCTCATAACCAACCCTATTAAGGCTTAAGAGACTCGAGCTCAGGAGCTTGAAAAACCTTATTTTATTCTTTTATCATCAAGTCACCCAATAATTGTTAATTTAATCTAGCATTGCATTTTAATTGATAATTGATAATTGATAAAGATTCTTATAATTTCCTTAGGAGAAACATAAAAGAAAAAGTAAGCTCAACTTCTCTGTCCACCTTATAGTCTTATGGAGAAGTTTCATGGGTTTCGCATAAAAATATAAAAACTATGTATAATGGAGAAGATGCAAGAATAGCAAGTGGATGAACACTAATATTGTAATTTATAAGAGTAATATTACACTTATAAAATAATTTTATAAAAATTTTTATATAAAATGATGTCTTAAAAAATAAATAAAAGAATAAATATAATAAGTTAAATTTTTTGTTATACTCTTTTATTATTTTTTATCACTCACTATGTAAACAGATATTTATAGGATTTTTTTTAAATATCATGTTATTAAATTTACAATGACCCGCGTACAAACTGAGATAACAGGATATTATTACATATTTACATTCTTAAGTTGAAATATCTTGAGGCGAAGCCGCAAAGAAGTGAAAAGGCGGGCCCGTATTTGTTATCCTTACCAATAAGATAAGATCTTGTGTCGTTAGTTTGATTGTTTAAAACTTTAAATCGTTCATAGCAGAACCAGGAAAGAGGAAAAGCAACCTAATCCTCTGTGGGAACGTGGCATACGGACATAAGCTCGAGAGCCTGTGAACATCTAGAGTTCTTTCGGCCTTTGGCACGTCCAATCTTAACATGGAACAAACGCCTACAATTTTTCCCCAGATGATATCTCTGTCAATATCACAGAATTAGATACATGGTAAATCTATTGGCATCTCCTTTTCTTTCCCCTTTCCATTTGCTTTCAGAAAACAATAACTGCACAGAATTCTATAAGGATTTTCCTCTCCAATTTCTAAAATGAAATCCTTACAAACTGAAGGGGAAAACAACATTTCAAAAATTCAGAGAATTTTCCGGACAAAAGATCATCCTACACAGCAGACAATTACTAATTTCAAAAATAAAAGACACTATTAAGATAATATCTGGGTTTCAAACGAAAAAAAAAAAAAATGTCAGATTAATCATCTTCCAGCAATAAATCAATGGATACACAGCATTTGTAGCATTTGTATGGCTCACATGCAACTTCTTTTGCTCTAGTTTTATTTACATCCTTTTAATATAAGCTTTATATTTTACATGAGCTACAACTTAAAATAAAAAGTGGAGTACATTTTAATATAACCAAGCTGCCAAGATGTAATCAAAGGAATAAAGAACAAGACTAAAACATTCCATATAGAGAGAGTACAGGAATCCTAGGATGATTTTGCATTTTCACTAGCAACAACATATAAACTATAGTTAGTTTTGGCAAGTCAAGTTCTTCAATATGGTATATAATATAACAATTGAACCTAAGAGAAGCCACAAATGAGAATGATGAAGTTGCCAAATGTGGAAAATTGAAGAGAAAAAAATATTTTAGATATGATTGATACCAGAATATTATTACCTTTTTTAGCAGATGTGTCTGTCTCTGTCCATTTGTTTCTGTAAATCTAAATTCGTTAAAAGGAGAAAGAAGGTTGAGCAGAGTCGTAGAGATGCTCTCTTTATTCCTTTGCCCCCACTAATGAAAGAGGAGAGAAGAAAAAAATTTATAAAGCTCCTTGACTTTTCAGTCTCTATCCAACAGTTTTTGCAGATGCGGGGTCACATCTCCTTCTTTGTAAAAAGAAACGAAGGATGCCAGTGGGTGGAATGGGAAGAGAATATAAATAGTCCACCTCCCATTGAAAGGATTGGCATTTTTTTCTTGCAATCACAGAATCACTATCTCCGTCTTGATAGGAATCCAACCATGGATGTGATATATCCTACATTTAAAGGTTTTCTAGAACTTATAAAAGATAAAAGAGGCACAAAGATTTCTCAACCACATGGAGCACTTAATACAGTTCTCCATGCCCTTATATTAGCATACATTTATTAACAATATTAAAATGTGAAATAGGAATACTTCACTGCATTATTAATGAAAAGCAGCTTGCATGTTCTAACCAGTAACAGGTTCATATTACAGTATAGAGTAAGATTTCTTATCATACTGCAGTAGGCCTTCATGAATAGTTTAGCATGGAATTGAAGACCTTTAATCCATATTATGTCCTACAAGTATTTGGAGGGTATAAAATCAAAAGAGTCAGCTTTTATCAGTCGATATTTTATCAGTGAAGTCCTACATCATTGGCAAAAATGTTTCAAGACACTAGAGGCGTGACATCCAGTAATTTATCAGAGAACACAAATATAAAAAAGTGAAGCATATCACCTATCAAGCATGCTAAGCAATTACATGGACAAGAAGAACAAGTCATGAAGCTATTTCCTTATACCAAACAAGATAACAAATAAGGATCCTTCGCAGACTCTAGAGAATAGATATCCACCATAGAACAAAAGCAAAACCAGCTGTATTAAATACTCAATTCAAATACATAACAAATGGTGTGAGGAAAAGAAAAGTAAAACTACCAAGTACAGTAAATGGTAAGGAATATAAAATGCACCTGCCCGGAAAGGAGAGGTTGAGGCAACTGCAACAAAGAATTTGTGGGCCTCAAAATAAATTCTTTTTTTCACTCATCAAGAATATGATAAGGGTCTTGTCCAAAAAATTTGTGGGCAATGATTGATCATCCAAAGGTTAACCTTGTGGGCGATAATGGATCATCCAAAAGTTGACTTTGAGGTTGTTGTAGTTTAGATATTTCACCAGAAATACCTCCTAAAACATCAATTCAATCATGTCCGCAAGAATCCCATTGCCTGGTAGACATTATTGAGAGTAGCATCCGCTATATCTCCAGCTTTTGAAGCACCTTCTGCTAGGACTTTATCCAAATAAGTTGAATCAGAAATGATCTCTGCATGGCGAACCTGCAAAAGTGGAAAACCTAATTGTTGATAGGACATCATAGTCAGTAATAAGTGAAAATCAGCAGAGAAGAAAAATAGGTAAAGTTTCCAACAAAAGAAACAACCATCTCAGAAAGTAAGATGAGTAGGGGCTATCAATGAAATGGCGACATACTACAGAGTCATACATCTGGAAGAAAAGGACAACTGCATACACATAAACTGAAGAGAAAAAATCTACATTGCATGCACCAATTGTTCACATCTGAGCACACAATCATTTAATATGAAGACAAAAAAACAAAAGCCTAGCTTCGAAAGCAATTAGCATTCACATAATATGATGTCGTGCACACTTACACGAACAAGCTTGACACACATCAATAACTGATAGGAAGAAAAGTGCAGGTAATCATCATGACAGGTACAAATGTGCCCAGCAACATTAAATCTTTATCTTAATTTTAGAATAAAAGAGAACCACAGAAGACACTGAAACCTGTATGGGATGCAGATGTTCGATCAATGCATCTGTTAGGACAGATTTAAATGTGCCCCAGTTCATATTATGGCATTCCTCTGCAACTTCCTGCGAATTGTACATATGGAGAACTTTTAAGAGTGGAATATCTCCTAGCTGTTATTCTAAGAAAATGATCGATCAAATTATCATATAAGAACTGCAACTCCTCACACGCATATATTTAGGAATCAGTATCCAGGATGCAAAACTATTTACCAGGCTGATATGAGCATACCTCTTTTGTCTTCCCTGACATGAGCTGATATATTGAAAGAAGATTGTTGCATTCAGGTCTTTCAGGATTGTCAAACTCCAGGCTGTTACGGAATAAACACAAATATAAGTGCTTATAGCAACAAGAAAACAGAAGTAACACAAAAACTTCCAGAATAGGATAGATTAAGAATTCACCCTGGATACGAGTCAGTTTTGCAACGTTTAATCTTATTCGCTATTACCTACACAGCAAAAGTAGAAAGAGAGGAATGAGACTGCATGAAAAACTAGCAAATTAGATTTATTTATTTTTTTTACCATTAAAATTAAATTTGAAAAATTAAATGCATGGTAAAAAAATCCCTATATCAAATACTTATACCTAACACAATGGCTATACTATTGCAACAAAATTGTATGTAACTAAAAAGTCAGTTGAATACAGTTTCTCTTCATACAGCTACAGATTTGCTTAATACTGATTACAATCATTGAAGCATGATGAATTTTATCATATACAATTAGGAGCAAATCCTGAGATAAGGCCCCACAATTGGTTGTTTCTGCAGAATGATCCTACTTAAGAGTAGCTTTTGATTGTGGAATCGCATAAAATTATTAAACCATTGTAAGGTCAAGTGCCAAATTATTACATGTATATCAGAAGTGACTTTAATTACAAGTCAATGTGGGAAAATATACGGGGGTTCAACATCACCCTTTTTTTTTTTCTTTTTTGAAAAGCAAGTCCGAATTAAGGGTTTCTTGTACTAATTCAAGATGCTCAGGTAATTTAGTTCACAAGAAGAAACCACTGACTTTAAAGCTCAGAAACTTGGTTTTGCACTGAATATTTTTTAACTTAAAAGCACAAGTACAATTTGCTTAACTGATTCTGTTTTATAGCTTAAAATCATTGAAAAAACAAATCAGCAACAGGTAAATATCAGAATTGTGAAATAATTTTTTTTAATGACAAGCTGGTGACAAAAGGAAATTTATTTTCTTTCTACAGTCAAAGCAGACTTGTCATCTGAGGGCAATATGCAGTAAAATTTAGGATTCAAATCAATTAGCAAATACAAAATAAAATCTCAGCCAGTTGAGTAACCTACACAATGAGAACAGCAAGACCAAAAGGCTGAAGATAATACTAAATAATTCAGCAGAAAGGAGCATATCATTGAGGCTTTAAATTGGAAAGCATCAACAATCAAAACATACACATGTTACAATATTCAGAAAGAAAGTCAAGAAAATGACAAAAGATTGTCTACTCACATCTTTGGGGTCAAGAATATTGATACGAGACTGATCTGAAGGTGCAGACTTGGACATCTATAGGATTTAACCCCAGAAAAATTTCAGTAAGGAAAAGAAGTATTCCAATTATGAAAACAAAAACAATTGTTAGAAGATTTTATTAATTATTCTTTCAGAGTGCTCTGCATTTTGTAACTCCAAATCTATAATACTAGTAATACAAGGGTAGATGTAGAAAAGAACTTATTTGTTGTGTTTAGTCCTTTGATTGATACCAAAATATATTCAATGCAACTCATGAAATCATAAATTATAACATACAACTTAAAGTGCTTAGAACCTTGGAAAGACCATCAGTGAGGGACATAACTCGGGCTCCAGCTGGTGGTATTAAGGGTTCAGGAACCTACATCAGGAAACAGAATTAGGAGAGAATATTCTAGAACTTAAGATATTTCATGAGCTCAATCAGGTATCAAGAAAGATAATCTACCTTAAAAATAGCACCACCTCGCCTGTGATCAATATGCAAAATATGAATAACCAAGTTATCAGTTTATGTTTAAACCCGCATGTACATAATATAAAGATTTTAAAATGAATATTATCAGTGTCCAAGTAAAATTAAATAATAATTCTTCCTACCCTCCCAACTTTTTCCACTTCCTTCCTCCATATAAATAATTAACACGTTCAGCCAGTTCACGAGTCAACTCCAAATGCTGCTTCTGATCCTCACCAACAGGGACAAAGTCAGACTGCAGTAGCACACTGCAATTTATAAGAATCATGCTTCCTCAGGATATATATCAACTCATTATAATGTGCAAGGTCATAGTATTACATATCAAATGAGTCCAGGTTGTCATCTAATAAGTATCCATATAAACCATGAATTAACTGGAAACCCTTTTTCCATAAACCTATAAACTGACACAAATTAGAATGTTATTCATAAAGAATACAGATTAGATAATCATACAGAAAGCATATCTTAGTGATCACCTGGTATAGAAGAATATCAGAAGCCATCAAAACAGGATAAGTCAAAAGAGCAACCCCAACATTTTCATCTCCCTGAAAATAGAAGTCAAAGAAACACAATCAATTTTAATCAGTAAAAAAGTATAATTATAGTACAATACATTGCATAGTTACATGCACAATCTAAAAGGCAAATAAATAAACACATTCTCCACTCATGCTATCAATGGCATGACAATAAAAATTACGGAAATCTAGCAGGAATTGACATCCAAAATAATTTATTACAAATATTTCAATGTAAATTTTTTCTGTGACGCTTGAAGTTGTGTGCTTAGGTGTGGTCTATGCCTAAGCATGTCGGTGTTTGCTTATTGACGCTGTTTATTACATGGTACTATTAGAAGAAATAAGTCTATACAATAGATTATTTGTTCAGATGAAGATTATTGGATGGGGCCCATCCTTCCTTGAATACTGATCTAGCTCACACACACATCATTGATAAATATAAAGATGTCAAATGAGTCATTTTGTCACCTATTTTAAGGTCAATAGAAAACATTAAATTATATTTGCACATTTTGTGCTACAGTATGTTGTTTTATAAAAATCATATTCAGTCATATAATTTCAAATAATGTTAACCTAACTGACCCGCTTGACATCTCTAGATAAAAAGTAACACTATGGAGTTGTCATCCAACTGTATACATACCGCTTTACGAGATTTTTCCTTAAACTGAATCATTCTATTCAGCCAACCAATTGGTGTGGCAGAACTTAGTAGCCACATCAATTCTACATGGGCACGAACGTGAGACTGCACGAAAACAGAAGCCTGCATCTCCAAAACCAAATTAATTCTGAGTAGTTTAAACTCAAATGTCAAGACTTAAAAAACATGATAATGAAACATTAGCCACAAGAGCATGATAAAGAAACATTAGCTGCAAGAGACCTTGGAGGTGTCAACTCCGCATGCCAAATAGATAGCTGCTGTATCCCTTGTTGCCTTAGATAATTGTTGTGTATCATATGGTAGTGTAATCTGAATTTGGAAAATTAAAAATCTTTAAACAAAATGTGGTAGTAAAAGCAATCAATAACTCCTGCATAGCAATACCCAAATCTAAAAGATAACTACTATGTATTATATTCATTAATTTTCATGCTTAATCTAATAGATGGTTATATAGAGACGAGAAAACATTTTAAAACATACCGCATGAAGATCCACGATAAAAAAGAGAGTCTCATAAGTATTCTGCAAAATCAATACCACCAAAATAAGCATCAAATCATGTAAACTATGAAAATAAAAACAACAATTAGTTCAAACCAATATATCTTATTTTGTCCGGTGTACTACCAAATCATTATAGGAGACAAAAAAATATCAATCGCAAAATTAGACAACACTTCTTCAACCAGTATGAGCATTTGGTAATTATGATTTATGACTCACTTGTAATGTAAAAGAGTCCAACAAGATATAGGAGCAAACAAATTGCAAAAGCATTTAGGAATTATAAAATAACTTTTTTGAAAAATAATAATAATAGATGAAAAAATTGAAAGGTAAAAGTATGAGAAGCAGAAATAGACAATCTCTACAGCAACTAAAAAAGGTCACCAAAAAAATATTTTTCGCAAAATTATCAGGATCCATGATATGCTTAACCATTTTAGATATTAAAAAGTGAATTTTCTTTTTCCAATTTAATTGTAATACCTTATCCAACAATATACCACAGAAACTGAAGTAATACCTGAAGTGCTATCCAATTTTTTATGGCACCAAGATAATTCCCAAGGTGTATGGATCCTGTTGGCTGAACTCCAGACACTATCCTCTTCCTGTCAATGAATCAGTCAACTTAAATCTAAATTCTCCGATAGAGAAAAATGGAAACAAGTTTAGATACATCATATTCTGACTTGATTCCCACTGTTAACAATAAATAAGATAAAAGTGATTACCAAAGTGAACACAAGCATCCATTGTTTTTCTTTACATCAAAGAACAGTTCAATTACTAAAATAACAATCGTTTTAACAGATACTAAGATGTGACTTCGTGGATGGTACCTAACAGAGCTTGAGGACGCCTCGGGAGCAGCAGGTTGCGAGAGCGAGACACTGCAGTTACAACGAAAACCACTGCCGTTGTATCTGACAAGTGAACGATGCTGACGAATTGGCGGCGGTATTTTCCAGTTTTTACCACCAAGGCCACCGAACGACCTGCTTGAAAGCATAGCAGAATGTGAATTTTAGACTAATACAGATGAAGAGAACTGCTCAAATAAATATAAAAAACGAGGAGAGAGTACAGTGAAGAGGTGAGGCGTGGAGATGAGTTTGAGACGATGAGAAAATTAGAAAAAAGAGCACGCCCCATTTTGGCTCTCTTACCGGATTGTTTTTTATCCACGGGATGTTATGCGACTGGGAGAAGGAAAATGAGAAAGATTCTTTAAAGGTCATGTTCCCACCTAGGTATGGCCAATACCAGGCATTTCACCCATCATTAGCTTCGGTTAATGACGAAATTGTCCTTGAATTTCATTATCATAATTCTATAATAATTATCAAGATAATCTCCAATTAATCTTTAATTCAAAATTAGTCATTATTCATAATTAATCATTAATAAAAAAGTTGATAATTAATTAATCTTGTTGAATTGGTACTTAAGTAATTCTGCGGCTTTGGACCAATGCTACCGCTACGCACGTCTGGACTCGAATCTTGCCTCTTTCCCTTGATTTTAAGTAAGAATTGGTTTTCTAGAGCAAAAATTAAACTATTCTCTCTCCCAAAACGCCAAACTCTAGCCGCCGCCTCAAGCTCTTGGATTGAAGCAGTCATCCCTAGAGTGCTCTCCGAACCTATTTTCGTGTGGATTGATAGTGAAGGGTCTATAAACAGTATCTATGAACAGTAATTAGGATTAGTGTTTGTGAACAGTATCAAAAATTCTAATCCAGAGAAGGAGCCGCCAAAAGGAGATATAAACCTTCCTTATTGGTTAATATAATGTGGATTTCTATATCGAGATCTTGGGTCATAGGATTGTGCCATGGCAAGAAAAATTTTGTTATTTCACACTTGCCACAACACAATTCCCTATCAATTCTTATAAGAAACCACGATGATTCAAACTCGGACCTCTTAAGTACACTCAAGAGTCCTTATTCAATCACTTGACCATCCAAGAGTGATTAAGACTAAACATAATCCATTAAAAACTTAATTTTATATTTATCATTATAACTTGCTAAAAATGGATATTAGCCAATAATGACTGGAAACATGATTGATACTAAAAAAAAAAAAAAGAAGGTAGAAAAATGGAAATTGAAATAAAAAAAAAAATTAATTGCCAAAACTGGTTATTGGAAGAAAAAAAAAAAAAAAAAAAAAAAAGAAAGTAGCAAATAATGAAATGAAATTTGGGTGGCCTAACTCAACTAGGATTCTTGGGTGTATTACTCAAGAAGTCATGAGTTCGATCCACCTGAGTTGCTAATAGGTTGGCCATTGATGAGATTTAGGGTTAGTTGAGCTTACATACAAGCTGCTGAACACCCCTGATAAAAAAAAAAAAAAAAAAAAAAAAGGGAAATTGTACAAAAAATTAGAATATCAACTAGTAAAAATGATTATAAAAGAGTTGCATATACTGATATATAAAATAGAGTAAATAATATCATGTCTCATTTTATATTATAAATTTGAGATGTTTAATATTATTCTTTTAATAACCCATGTGAGACAATATACTATAAAGATATTATTAGGTGCTCCGTAAATATTACATTTCCACAATCACAACTATATGCCAAGTTTTTATTTAGTCTTAATACAAAATAACATGATGATTTATTTGTTACAAACATATCATATACTTATCTTTTTGTTGCTCGATCGACTGTGATTTGGAAAGAAATAGTTGGAGTATGACTTTGTATTAACATTATCATTAATTAGTTATAACTCATGATAAAATAAAATAAAAATAAAAATAAACCATATATGGATAGAAATATAAAAGAGTAGAGTTATTGATTGAGAACCCACTAACAGACTAAAGAAACCCTGTTTCTTAAGACACCTCATTCAAAGTTTGATTTCATTCTATTTTTTTTTTTTTATAAATTTTAAAAGAGTTGGCATTTCATTCCATTTACTTATGCTATATGCCCCCACCGTCGTTATTCTTAAAATAAAATTTTAGATAATTAAATTGAAGGTTAAAAAAAAAAAAATTAGAGCTAAAAAAAGTTCTCATAGATAATCTCAAATACATAATATTTTTAAACAACAACAAAATATATATATATATATATAGGTTAAAATAGCTACCAAGACTTTGAAAATAAAAGGCTATAAATTTATATTTGAAGCAATTAAAAACTTAAATTGCATAATTATTTTCGTTTTAAGAATAATTTGAATAGCATAAAAAAGAAAATAGACTTTATGAAATAATAGTAAGCCAGTAGAAAGTATTGATAAAGAATAAAAAATAATTTAATTAATTTACTATAGAGATAAATTTGTTGTTATAAAATTTATTAAAAAGTGGGCTCTTTAATCTAGTAAATGGTGTTTCAGTAGATCCATTCAATGAAAAAAAAAAAAAAAAGGTTTGCCAGGCCAGCCGGGAGTTGAAACCATACAATGTAAATCCAAAATTTAGCGTAGGGCCATTCACAGCGGCTTTGTCATTCGGGTCATCGGCCCATAACAACTTAATGGCGCATAATAGAGTTTCTACCAAAGAGAGAATTACCGAATTGCCTGCAGATTTGCCGCGGAGAAGAGTAGAATGTTGATTACAATAATACTACGGACACCGGGATTTTTGCACCGAAATATTGTATCGGCTTACGTGTAATGCACATCTGAATATTTTTACAATTTTTTTCTAGTAAACGGCCGTCCATCAAATTTGGATAGCCATTCACTCACATGGACGCCCGTCCATATACAAGGGACGCCTGTCCGTCCATAAATAAAATATAATAAAAAAATTTATAAATATTGGGGACGGGCGTCCATCTGTTATGGACGGCCGTCCATTACTTTTGGACAGGCGTCCATTTGTAATGGACGCCGGTCCATATTTAAAAAAAAAAAAAAAAAATTAAATTCTGCTTCTTCTTCTTCCTTTCGTAAATGTTCCATTTTCTTTCTATTGGAATGAGGGCGCCATGCAGCTTGGATGAAGCATGCGGCCCATGTCCTCCACTATTATGAGTAGAATCTGAAGGTGTGCTCCCTCTTCATCTTTCCTAAGTTTCCCAGCCAGCTAATGAAACTCTTTCAGAACTGTGTCTTGTGATTTCTTCTCCACTTCTTGGGTTGCCATTGTGACTGAGTTAAAGGAGTAGTGTTGTTGAGATAGTAAAGATGGAAGAGATTGGATGAATTTTAAATTTTCAAAGATGGAATAGAAAAGGGAAAATAACCAGTTGGGGTTGTCTTGAAGAATACGTTAGAAAGTGAAAATGAATTAATTTACAGATTCTTGAAGAATTTTGGATACCTTCGCAATTTTGTGAGAAGCTATTTTTGGGGCAAGATAAGCCAATCCAATAATATTGATCATCTTCCTAAAATATATAAAGAAAACAGGAACTGAAACCCATGAATAATTGCACCAATGATCCCAAAGCCATTAACACACAGTCCTAAAAATCTGCAAATGTAAATAGTTTTAGCAATGAAACTCAAGCAAAACAAGAAAAAGAAGAATGAACTAGGATAGAAAAAGAGAGAAAGAATAATGGACGGCGTCCCTTTAGTGGGACTGCCGTTCATACATAATGGACGACGGTCCATTAGTTATGGACGTCCGTCCAAACTTAAGGGACGCCCGTCCATAATTATGGACGGGTCACAAATTTTTTATTTTACTTTTTAAAACAAATTAAGTTTGGACAGGCGTCCCGTATTTGCGGACGTCGTCCAAATTAAAGGGACGGCCCTCCACAACCTATGAACGGCCGTCCATAATGTTTTACAAATTTTTTATTGTATTTTATTTATGACGGGCGTCCTTTAATGGGGACGCCCGTCCCTTGTTATGGACGGCCATTCATAGAAAAAAATGTAAAAATATTCAGATGTGCGTTACACGTAGGCCGATACATAATTGGTGTAACTTTTTCGGTGTCCGTAGTGTTATTGGAAATTTTTACAATTTTTTTTAGTGTATGGAGCGGTTCACTCACATGGACAGGCGTCCATGTACAAGGACGAGATCCCCATTTAAAGGACGCCCGTCCATAAATAAAATATAATAAAAAAAATTTATAAATATTGGGGACGGCCGTCCATCTGTTATGGACGGCCGTCCTTACTTGGACGGGCGTCCATTGTAATGGACGCCGGTCCATATTTAAAAAAAAAAAAAAATAAATTCTGCTTCTTCTTCTTCCTTTCGTAAATGTTCCATTTTCTTTCTATTGGAATAAGGGCGCCATGCAGCTTGGATGAAGACTGCGGCCCATGTCCTCCACTATTATGAGTAGAACCTGACGGTGTGCTCCCTCCATCTTTCCTAAGTTTCCCAGCCAGCTGATGAAACTCTTCCAGAACTGTGTCTTGTGATTCTTCTCCATTTGGGTTGCCATTGTGACTGAGTTAAGGAGTAGTGTTGTTGAGATAGTAAAGATGGAGAGATTGGATGAATTTTAAATTTTCAAAGATGGAATAGAAAAGGGAAAATACCAGCTGGGTTGTCTTGAAGAATAAGTTAGAAAGTTAAAATGAATAATTACAGATTCTTGAAGAATTTTGGATACCTTCGCAATTTTGTGAGAAGCTATTTTGGGGGCAAGATAAGCCAATCCAATAATATTGATCATCTTCCTGAAATATATAAAGAAAACAGGAACTGAAACCCATGAATAATTGCACAATGACCCAAGCCATTAACACACAGTCCTAAAATCTGCAAATGTAAATAGTTTCAGCAATGAAACTCAAGCAAAACAAGAAGAAGAAGAATGAACTAGAATAGAAAAGAGAGAAAGAATAATGGACGGCCGTCCCTTTAGTGGACTGATGTTCATACATAATGGACAAGCGTCATTAGTTATGGACACCCGTCCAAACTTAAGGGACGTCTGTCCACAATTTATGGAGGGCATCTAAATTTTTTATTTTATTTTTTAAAGAAATTAAGTTGGACGGGCGTCCCGTATTTACGCGCTCGTCCAAAATTAAGGGACGGCCGTTCATAGGTTGTGGACGGCCGTCCATAATGTTTTACAAATTTTTTAGTATTTTATTTATGGACGGACGTCTTTTAAATGGGGACGTCTGTCTCTTGTATATGAACAACCGTTCACTAGAAAAAAAATATAAAATATTCAGATGTGCGTTACACGTAGTTCGGTACGAATTTCGGTGTAGTCCGTAGTGTTATTGATGTTGATTAGCCAATAAAAAAACACAGTGCTCACCTTTCACAAATCAATTAGATTCGAATCAGAACTCTAGCAAGACCGAAAACACTGACAGAAATGGATGACAGACGAAGACTAGAAACGGAGAGGCACCAAATCGAGCAGATTCGAGAACTCGAATTCGAAGAATTGCAGATCGAAGAGATCGACGAACTTAATGACTCATCCGACGACGAACGTGATGCCATGTAACTTTCATCACCATAAAAATCAATTTCTATTTCTTTGTTTCCAGAATTTGAGTGAACAAGTGTCATTTGCACGTTATTTTTTTATTTTATCATCGTTACTACATTACTTCCCTTGTTCATAATTTACGTATTTAAATGATTTGGAATCTTAGGGTTTTGATTTTGGATTGTATGCGCCTTGTGTTCAAATACTTTTTGATTATTTATCATACTGGTAAACTTCAATTTGGATTTAAAATACTGAAATAGTTAGATTAGAGACTGTAGAGTAGCCTAATGCAGTAAATGGCCCAACATATTTGTTTAATTTACATGGTTTATGAATGATTTATTATGACTAATTATTGTTCTTTCACTTAACGCAATTCGTTTTAAACATTCTGTTTTTGACTGCAGTGGCATCGATGGAACGGCTGAATTTACTTTTAACACTTGTTTGGCTTCCTTACACAGTTATCTTGGTGGTGAGCGTCTAATTTTTGGTGGTTTCTTTTATTTTTTATTTATTAAATTTTCTTTTGTTATTTGTCTGAGAGTCTGATTTATTTGAGTTTTACTTACATCACTACCATGTGACAGAGGTTGAAGACACTCACCATAGGATGGCTTTCTTGGAGGGGGGTGCCGTCTTAACCCTCCCATTGTTCTATCTTGAAGGTACCTGTATACTTGTTTATCCATTTGATTGTTCTGCAGTTTCAGTTTGAGACTCTTTCTCGTTGGCCTTTTTTACTTTTCAGCATTAATTTCAAGCTATAGTTGTTATGTTATGGTCTTATGGAGTAAAAGAAGTATGCATTGATTGAATGATATTTATGACATTTTGTGGAATAATGGGAAGTGAAGACTATATCAATTCATTTCTTTATTTATTTTTGAGCAAGCATATTCAGTTGATTATAGTAGTCTATGAACTCAGAGTCACATTTTAGAGGGCTAAAATGCTAGTAATGTAAATCAAGTACAGTAAGGTCTGCTGCAGTCCTATCTGGTTTTATTTATTTATTTTATTTATATATATATATATATATATTTTTTTTTTTTTTCTGGGATCTCTTAGACTATCACATTATGTTATCCTCACATGTCATTTTCCTAATCAGAGAATTCTAACTTTGCTCTTTGATGGTTGTTAGGAGTTGTTCTGTTCCCTGAGGCTACCCTCCCTCTTAGAGTTATTCAACCCAATTTTATAGCTGCTGTTGAGAGAGCCTTGACCCAAGTTGATGCTCCTTATACTATAGGGGTGGTATGTAAACTCTACATCACTTTCTTTCTCTTTAATGTGATTACTTTCTATAGTTATATCTGAAAGAGAGTTTTCAAACTCTGTTCAGGTTCGTGTTTACAGGGATCCTCATAACGGACAGAGAAGATTTGCAACCATTGGGACAACCGCTGAGGTTTAATATCTGAACCTTGCTGATCTCTTGTTTTATCATTCGTTGATGTGCGACTTTTGTTATATTCATGTGTATTTTATTCATAACAGAAAAAACCTTGTAACTTAAGTGATTTGCTCGTGAATCAGCTTCCACTATTTTATAAGTTTTACTAAACAGATTCTTACTAAAGTCTTTTGCTTATTAACTGGTTAATGTGTGAATACAGAGTTCTGAGTTTCTTACTTTTCTTAATGATGGTTTATGCCCAATAGGTCTTTTCTTCCCTTCCTCCCACATTTCACAGCCTAGATAATTTAATTATTATCATCATTATGTCTTGCAGTGAATTGGAGACTAGAAATAACTGGTTGTATGCTATTCTTATCTGATGACAATGCGATATCCTATAGCTTTGAGTTGTTTTAGAACCTAGAGGCACTGTATTTGCAAGACCTGTTTGTCCTTGTGCTTGTAATGGAATTAGGAAGCTCAGAGTACTGTGTGGATGCATGCGATTTATATGCTATTGAAGGGCATCACCTAGCATGGTAATGCAGTTTATAAGGGTAGATCAGCTGGAAAGTGCATTTTGGTTCATAGTTTGCAAGATAACAACAAATTTCGATTTGTTTAGTTTTCTAAGCATTTATTATCTTCAACTTAGTCACAAAATTAATTGTGTGGATTGTTGAGTTTTTATATTATAACCTGAACATCAATAATTTAAGGCTTTTTTTTCCTTTTTTTTTTTTTTTTGTTCCCTTTAAAGAAAAAATTTCAATTTGTTTTGAACTTAATTACAATGTTGCTCCTATTGGCCTCATTTATTTGGTTTTTGCTCAATTCTTTGTAAGTTGCTTATTAACAAGAGTTTGTTTTACAGATTCGACAATACAGACGGTTGGAAGATGGTTCACTTAATGTGGTTACTCGTGGGCAACAACGTTTTTGTCTAAGACGCCGATGGTTTGAGTTGGAAGGAATGGTTGGCATTGTCTTACTTTCTAAAAATACTCACAAGATTTATCTTTACTTTTGTTTTGAGTATTTGTTCACCTGATGTGGTATATTATTTCATTTTGTAGCCATGTGGAGAGATTCAAATTATCGAGGAAGATTTGCCATTAAGGACCCCACGGGATGCATTCAGGAAATTGGGACCCGTGAGTAATCTGCGAAGTCATGGTCTCTCACAAACACTGGCTTCAAATACTTCATCACGTGGATATGGCAATGGGGACAATGATTCAGAGGCGAGTTCAGAGGAAAGCTTTCAGAGTGAGCTTTCTCCAACAGAAAGGAGAATCCATGAATCTGCTATTGATTCCGGCGATAGATATGATGTAATGGATGAATCAACAAGCAGTGACGATGATAATTCTGGGTTTAAGTCAGACATTCTATCTGGAAGATCTCATCTAAATGATTCAGACTCTATAGGAAGTTGGAAAAAAAGTGAAAATGTTGACTTTAGAATTGGAAAGAGTTCTGTATTAGGAAGGCAATCTCACCGAGGCGAAGGGTCAAAAATGCTTTGCAGAAGGATTGAGTTAGGCCAGTTTCGTAGAACATCAAGAGCATTCTGGCCCTATTGGGTATACAATATGTATGACTCCTATTGCCTTGCTCGAAGGGCAGCAGGTAGTTTATTTTTCCCTTTTATTCTCCCTTGACATTAATGTACAATTCATAGCTTAATTTGTTTGCACAACCATGATTGATTTTTTCTCCCTCTATGAAACATTTGAAACCACTTGTAATGTTGGAATGACCTGTTTATAGAACTAGACAATTGATTTATGGAAAGTTTTCGAGAGAAAGCTACAGTCTTTTTTTACATATTTAGAATTGCCTCTTATATTACTAGATAAGTGTCAGATCAGTTTTGCCTTTCTTTTCCTCATTTTTCATTTTTAAGTTTGGTTAATAATTCATGTTGTCTAATTGAGCTTGGAGGTTTATGGTCAGATGTAGTGAAAATTAGGTATCTAGAGAAGAAGGGGAGGGGGGACTTTCTCTCTCTTTGGGTTTGATTAGTTGGAGTTTATGACTTTGGTCCCTAATGACATTGATGATTCTATGTTACTGTTTTGCAGATAAGTGGAAACAGGTAGTTGGAACACCAAGCATGGATAGTTTTGTGAGGAAGCCTGATCTCTTGTCATTTTACATTGCTAGCAAAATTCCTGTCTCTGAATCTACAAGACAAGAGCTTTTGGAGATTGATGGTGTTTCATATAGATTGCGTCGGGAAATCGAATTACTTGAGAGTTTTGATATTGTTCAATGTAAAACTTGTAAGGTATAACTTTTTTCTTTCTTCAAATATGCCTTTGTGTGTGTGTGTGTGTGTGTGTGTGCAGACCTGTCATTGCATTCCCCTGTTAAAAAGATACACTTATGTGCTGACAAAGACTTGCCTGATTTGTTCTTTTAATTTCTTATGCAGACTGCAATTGCAAGGCGGAGTGACATGTTGGTGATGTCTAGTGAAGGTCCTTTGGGTGCTTATGTGAACCCCGGTGGTAGTGTGCATGAGATAATGACTCTCTACAAAGCAAATAGCTTAGCACTCCGGGATCGAGCATGTACAGAATACAGCTGGTTTCCTGGGTATAAGCTTAACCTGTCTTGCTCTGTTGTGTGCTGTGTATGCATTTAAGTGTTTCTGGAAGTTTTGAGATGATGTTCTTTGAAATGCCATTGATAATCTCCCATCATTATTTTTCTTCCTTGTCCCAATCATTGTTGTATGAACTTAAATTTTGGTAAATCAGATTCAGGTTTCAGTTACAGGCATGAAGTAGTTGATATTTGAGGCCTTTGGCTCTAGTTGGGTATATTAGCTGAGTGAAATTTCTCCATGAGCTATCGATCAACAAAAAAATAAAATAAAATAAAAAAACCAATAAATAAAAATGAAAAAAGAAGTGGTTTCATGTGTTTTTTCAAACTACATGGATTTTGAATGTCTCAATTGTTTATAGTGTTGATTTTTGGTTTAGTGTTTATGGAACAATAGCACTTAGTTGGCAAGAGATTGTACATAGATTATAGTTCAACAGGTTGATGTGTACAAAATTTATGTGATTGTATGGAAATAACATTTTAAATATTTGAATATTAGAGTCTTCCTGAAAAATATGTGTATTGGGATTGAACAGTTGGGAGATTATTTTTAATTAGGAACTAGGGGCCTAACAGATAAATGCCCAAAACCAGAAAGTTCCAAGTTTGAATAAGTGGAGAAACTGAGGTTTATATTACCTGAATTCTCGTCAGAAATCAGAATTTGGTTATACTGGTTGTTTTCATTCTTCTTTCCCCATGTTTCAATAGTCTATGCTGCCATTTTGCTGTTAATTTGCTGAAGAAGGATGATTGTGATGTTGTCATGTTCTGCAGATATGCATGGACAATAGCTAGCTGCGGAGCTTGTGAAACTCACATGGGCTGGCTTTTTACTGCCACGAAGAAGTCACTGAAGCCTAAATCATTTTGGGGGATACGCAGTTCCCAAGTTGCTGACGGCACACTTAAAGATTAGAAGTTGTAACGGTTTAAAATCCGCTGCAGTCACTATGTAATGTGCCTGAATTGTAAATATACTACATATCTAATCCATAAATAGTTTGGAATTATCATTAGGATACTAAAATCTACTTTCTATGGAAGTAAGCTTTGATAAAGGAAAGAGAGGAAAAAATTCTTCCTGCAATCCTTACATGAGAACGTTTCTGACATTTACTAGATTCTAAAGTTGCAAAATTGTAATTTTCTATGTAAGTATGATGCTAGATCATGTCATTTTAATAATTTTCATTCGTGGTTGTGGATTGAATGTATATTGGTGACTGTTCTATATGTTCTAGTGGAGCCATTTTTGCAGAGCCTGTCAATAGGTTATGATTTAATTTGGATCTGACACAACACATTGTTATTCGTCTATCTAAGGGAGGAGGACAATGTCCTGCACAAGGTTTGGCCAAATGACATTTTTCCACCTGGAAAGTTTCAAAACAACACTTTCCCATCCATTGTTAAAATCTGAAAGTAAAATCAGTTAATTGATATTTTATAAATATTTTTTTCACTTTTGGGGTGATAGATTTCATGAATTTTAAGCTGTGTTTTGACATTTTAGAAAGTTTGAACATGGTTAAATCTTTGATTTGGTAAGTTGTTAGAGATTTGGTTGTGAAAAAATAAAATTGAGATGAATTATTGAATATTTGGTGATGAAGATTTTTGTTTGTGAAGGGGGATTGGAATGGGATCTAGTTGCTGCAAAAAAATTGGTATTTTGGAGTCAGAGGTGGAGGTGAAGGCTTTGGTGGTGGTAGAGGAGAACGCACTAGAGGTGGTTCAGGTAAAGGTGGAGGCTTTGGAGCCAGGGGTGGTGTTGGTGGTGGGGCTGGAGGTGGAGGTGGTATTGGTGGTGGTAGTGGTGGAGCAGGAGGAGGAGGAGGAGGAGGTGGTGGAGTTGGCGGTTCTTTTTAGCCACAATGGAGGCTGTGGTGCTGGAGGAGGTGTGGGCGGTGGTGGTATTGGATGAGGAGGTGATGCTGGTGGGGGTGGAGGAGTTGAGGGTGGATTAGGTGGAGGATCTGGACATGGGGGTGGCTTTGGTGGCGGTAGGGTTGAGGGTGTAAGAGGTGGAGCTGGTGGAGGGATAGGTGGCACAAGAGTAGCTGGAGGTGGGGGTTCAGGTCATTGTGACCGGTTTGGAGCTGGTGGAGGTGCAGGTAGTGGTGCTGGAGAAGCAGCAGCAGGTGGTATCGGTTGAGTGCATGGAGCTGGTGGTGGAGGTGGAATTGGGATAGGCATTGGAGTGATTTACCATTATGTCATTTTTCAGTTAAAGTTAATGGACGAATCTTGAAGATGGATGGTAAAGTGTCATTTTGAAACTTTCGGGGTGAAAAATATCGTTCGGCCAAACCTTGGGTGGGAAATGTTGCTCTCCCTCTATTTGACAGGTCACTATCATCGGGTTACAGCTTGTATGAAAAAAGTGTGTCCAATTTCTAAGTAACGGCCGTAAGACTAAGAACTATTTGTAAGAAGATTATGAAAACTGCATTGGAAATGAGTAATAGTTTATTTAACCTATTGATTGAGCGTGGGAATGGTTACTGAACAGGTGAATCTTGACAACAGAGATGTGGTGAAATCATTGAGATTTTATTTGCTTCAATAATAATAATAATTTGACAGAATTATCATGCAAAAATAAAACAAAGGTTCCTAGCAATGCCAAGAACTTTTACCTACTACACTCGTATAGAGGACCAGATATAATCTGATCATCAAGGAATTAAAGAGGAAAATAACAAAAAAAATGACTGGGTTGGGTCATGTAGCAACTGGAAATGCAAAGTTCTATCCTGAGTTTAACGATAGCTTCGGTAGACTGGGCTGTACATGCAGCTCTCGGCATAACTAACCAAATCCTTTGGTCGAGGAAGACGAGAAGCCAGGCCTGTATAGCAATTCAAAACGATATGATTAATGAAAAGTAGGTGGGCAGTTGCTGAGCATTTAACATATTAAAAAGCTAACTTACCAAGATCATATGCCTTAGCAGCGACTTTAGCAGCAATATGAGCTGATATCTTTCTGATATTGGAGAATGGTGGATATATCAGTCCCTTCTCGAAGTTTTCCTGGGTTACTTGTGCAGCCAAAGCTTCCGCTGTTGCAAGAGAAAAGTGGAAACAGTTAATGTTATGGCATGGGCGTTAGTCTTGTTCCTTGCTATCAACAAAAATGAAAATCTAACAGAACCATAATTATGGTAGCATAAATGGTGAAAATTAGATATTACTAATCACGGATGCTGCCATCTTGTATTATTTTCCTTTTGTTGGCTGAGTCTAGGGGTTTAGCTGGGGTTGCAAAATACATATTTTTAATATGAAATACAATCCTCCGAGTACTTACAGGCTGCTAAAAGCATCTCATCATGCACACGAATTGCACCAGAGATGATCAAACCCAAACCAAGTCCGGGGAATATGTAAGCATTGTTTCCCTGAATAATATGAATAAAAAGTAAATCACCAATTACAATAAAGTTCAGGTAAAGAGTAAATTTCAATAACAAAATGTGAACTAGGTTAAACCTGGCCAGGCAGAAAAACTTTCCCATTATATTCAACAGGGTCAAATGGGCTTCCACTAGCAAAAATTGCTCGGCCCTGCAAATTAGAAGAAGGTTATCAATAAGATGATGTAAAAGAGTTCTACTTCACTTCCAACCTCCAATTCTCCTAGGATAAACTCATAAGAGTATATCAGTTTCGGTGATGCCAACGGAAATTTGCTTATCATTTTACCTCACTCCATGTATAGGCTTCTTCAGCTGTACACTCAGACTGTGAGGTAGGATTGGATAGAGCAAATATAACAGGTTTCTGCATATCAACCATAAAGATAATATGTGAAATTCTTTTCATCAAATAACATTCATATGTTTAAGAAAAAGATGACAGACTGGTGTCATACCTCATTGAAGGATGCCATGGCCTCAATCACCTCTTTTGTGAATGTTTTTCCCACTCCAGATGTTCCCATCAACATTGTTGGCTTAATTGCCTGATTTATTGGGGGTATCAGATAAGGTGATAATCAAAACCTTAAAATAAAATTATCCCAGAACATTTAAATGTATCATTCAAAAAATTTTTCCAGACCTTGACAGCATCTAATAATCCCTTAACAGGTTCATGCTCATGAGCCCATGGCTTCTTGAAGTGTTGTAGTGATTCCTTACGAGAACTAACAATCAGTCCCTGCAACAAGTTTAAAACATCCATTATAACTTGACAAAGATTTATTTAATAAAAAAAAAAAAACCTTTGTAATATTCACACAAAATCTAATGCTTTCTACAATCAAATAAGGTCAATGATACCTTTGAATCCACTAGCCAAATCTTCTTACGGGTCTCTTCAATTGGAAGTTTTGTCTGCAAGTAACACAGTCCATATGATTAATAACAAAGCTTGACTTTGGATATTAAAATAAATAAGGCAACAAGTTAATACCTGCTTTGACATTTCAAGAGCTATAAGGTCTGCTATACCAGTTCCAGCCTTCAAGAATCAAAACACAGAAGCGAGTAAAAACAACTGAATGAATAAATGCAAAACGGATACTTGCATGTCTTCTCCTGATGGAAGATAGGAACGAGAAGAAAAATATATCACTTAAATATTGCTAGGTGCTTCGGCCTCACCTCTCCAGCACCCAAGAACAGGAAAGTTTGGTCAGCAAGGCTTCCACCAATTAATTTCAAAGCGGCAATAACCCCAGCTAATACCACAGATGCAGTACCCTGCAATAAATGAAAGAGTAGTTAGAAAATACCATAATTATCTTAATGTAACAACATTGTTGCCTTAAGACAAAGGGAAGGAGAGAGCTTTAACAACATTGTTACCTGTATATCGTCATTGAAAACGAGGTGGGTTGAGCTGTATTTTGACAAGAGCTCAAATGCATTGTGATTTGCAAAATCTTCAAACTGAAAAACATGTTTAAATTGTTCAGAGCGTAATCTTGTAAAGTTCAGAAATTGGCTCTTCTATTATTATGTTAAAAATGATGACTGACCTGTATAAGGACTTTCTCACCATAGTTTTGCTTAACTGCAGTCATAAACTCTTGTAGAAGTTCTGCGTATTCCTAAATCATAGAAGCAGAATAAATCCTCAGTGTTTCAGAAATTAAATACATTTCTCAGCATAGCTAATTATGATGGGTTGATAAAGGAAAAGAAAAAAAAAAAAATTTNAGACTGTGAGGTAGGATTGGATAGAGCAAATATAACAGGTTTCTGCATATCAACCATAAAGATAATATGTGAAATTCTTTTCATCAAATAACATTCATATGTTTAAGAAAAAGATGACAGACTGGTGTCATACCTCATTGAAGGATGCCATGGCCTCAATCACCTCTTTTGTGAATGTTTTTCCCACTCCAGATGTTCCCATCAACATTGTTGGCTTAATTGCCTGATTTATTGGGGGTATCAGATAAGGTGATAATCAAAACCTTAAAATAAAATTATCCCAGAACATTTAAATGTATCATTCAAAAAATTTTTCCAGACCTTGACAGCATCTAATAATCCCTTAACAGGTTCATGCTCATGAGCCCATGGCTTCTTGAAGTGTTGTAGTGATTCCTTACGAGAACTAACAATCAGTCCCTGCAACAAGTTTAAAACATCCATTATAACTTGACAAAGATTTATTTAATAAAAAAAAAAAAACCTTTGTAATATTCACACAAAATCTAATGCTTTCTACAATCAAATAAGGTCAATGATACCTTTGAATCCACTAGCCAAATCTTCTTACGGGTCTCTTCAATTGGAAGTTTTGTCTGCAAGTAACACAGTCCATATGATTAATAACAAAGCTTGACTTTGGATATTAAAATAAATAAGGCAACAAGTTAATACCTGCTTTGACATTTCAAGAGCTATAAGGTCTGCTATACCAGTTCCAGCCTTCAAGAATCAAAACACAGAAGCGAGTAAAAACAACTGAATGAATAAATGCAAAACGGATACTTGCATGTCTTCTCCTGATGGAAGATAGGAACGAGAAGAAAAATATATCACTTAAATATTGCTAGGTGCTTCGGCCTCACCTCTCCAGCACCCAAGAACAGGAAAGTTTGGTCAGCAAGGCTTCCACCAATTAATTTCAAAGCGGCAATAACCCCAGCTAATACCACAGATGCAGTACCCTGCAATAAATGAAAGAGTAGTTAGAAAATACCATAATTATCTTAATGTAACAACATTGTTGCCTTAAGACAAAGGGAAGGAGAGAGCTTTAACAACATTGTTACCTGTATATCGTCATTGAAAACGAGGTGGGTTGAGCTGTATTTTGACAAGAGCTCAAATGCATTGTGATTTGCAAAATCTTCAAACTGAAAAACATGTTTAAATTGTTCAGAGCGTAATCTTGTAAAGTTCCGAAGTTGGCTCTTCTATTATTATGTTAAAAATGATGACTGACCTGTATAAGGACTTTCTCACCATAGTTTTGCTTAACTGCAGTCATAAACTCTTGTAGAAGTTCTGCGTATTCCTAAATCATAGAAGCAGAATAAATCCTCAGTGTTTCAGAAATTAAATACATTTCTCAGCATAGCTAATTATGATGGGTTGATAAAGGAAAAGAAAAAAAAAAAAAATTAAACCTGCCCAGTTGCCCTCTTTTGCTTAAGTCCAATGTAGAACTCATCATTCAATAACTGCTCGTTGTTTGTTCCAACATCAATGGTAACGGGCAAGCACTGCAAATAGCGAATGCAAGGGTCACATACAAATAAGAAATCTATCAAATTTAATGCAAACCTTTTCTCTGAAACCAATTTTGCAGACAAAAAAACTAGGACCTGACATTTACTCCCAACACTAATTATTCTAAAATTTTTATCCATTGGATAAAAAGAACAGAAGTAGAAGCAATAAATCAACCAATCAATGAAAATAAGCAGTAATTATCGAAATGCTTACGGCTGAGGGACGTAGTCCTCCAAGTGCTGTATACAAAGAAAGTTTTCCTACAGGTATTCCCATTCCCTGGCAACATTTAATGCATTCACATCAATTAAGATTATAACAATGTGAAAATCAGAGAGAGAGAAGCATGTTGTTCCAACTTGTGACTTAAATGCATATATCATTACCTGGCAACCAAGATCCCCAAGCCCCAAAATACGCTCACCATCTGTCACGACAATAACTTGAATGCTTCTCTCTGGCCAGTTTTTCAGTACTTCAAGAATTTTCCCCCTAATAATACACCATTACTTAGTATCGACTAAATGCAATGCAACTGAGATATAAAATATATCAAAAGAATGCAACCATATTGCCATACTTCTCTTTCAAACTGATGTAAAGACCCTGAGGACGCCTGAAAATGCTTCCATATTTCTGGCAAGCCTCTCCAACTGTTGGAGTGTACACAACTGGGAGCAGTTCCTCAACATTATCAATGAGAAGCTTGTAAAAAAGTCTTTCATTCCTCTCCTGCAATACATTCCATAGCAGAATGAAAAAGTTAAAAATAATTTTAAAGTAATTTGCTTGTTGTGATCAAAGGAATTGCAGCGCAGTTTCATTGTTCACATGTTCCAATAATATCTTTGACTAATAAAAAATCAAACTTGGTGAATCTTTCATGTTTAATATATCCATCTTGTGTCTTTTTAATAGCTCCAAATTGTATCCATGATGTGTCTAAATTTTCTAATCTTTTTATAACTTAGCAGGCAAGCCTACCACAAATCTTCCAGTAACAGTGCCTCGAAACACTGTCAACACAAGAAGGGACCGTCTCACTTCTAGCGACAAAGAACAAATGCACACCAGGGGGCCATGCCGTCTCTAGCTATTGATGACTATTCTTTCTAATATATGAAATAAAAAACATAACTCCAGTGCAAAAACAGTTGTGATTAGTAGTGGAATACCTGAAGATCCATCATGGCCATATATCGCTGTAAAGGAACTTTATATTGCCGAAGGTTATGCATCAACTTTTTCTCCTGAATAAACAAAGTTGTAATAGATGTAAGCAAAAGAAATATCAAACGTTGCAGAGGATAATACAATGGGCACAAAACTAACCTGAAGCTCTTGAGACAGGACTGCTGGCGGCAGAAGACCACGCAAGTAATGTGCATCTCTCTCTTGTGCAGAGAAAGCAAGCCCCTTGTTGTGATGTGGGTCACGCAACAAAGTATAACCACTGTAACACATATGGCAAAGAAATAATTTCACTAGCTAATAACTAAAAAAACCAAATTCTGGAAATAACAATATGAAGAACAAGAAAATTCCACAAAGAATGAATATTAGATTCTAAACGGGTACAGGTAAACAAAAAAATTGGCAGAGCATTTCAGTTTTCCATAAAAATATAAAATTCTATGTTGAGTGAAAAGTAAAACCATGGAAGAGCAGTAGGACCAAAATGCAAAACTGTTCAACAGGGCATTTACAAGACAAACCACATCAAAGGTTTTTCTTTTCTCTGTTATCTTCTATTTTTTAATCATTAAATACTATAGTCAATAAAAGTATTTACTCCAACGAATTGTGCAAGAAACTGGGATAGTTAACCATAAGTGGCAACTGCACAACATAAGAGAATTCATCACAAGCTCATTCCGAAATTTACCATTTTTCTTGAGCTTAAAACAAAGTAACACTATAAATCTCCAGGACGATTTCAATTCTATCCCCACTCCCAGATCTAAGCTCTCTTGAAAAAAAATCACATTGAAGTATTCTATTAACTCTTGCAAAAGATCCCTAGTTCTGATTTAATAATCAACAAGACATTATTTGAAAACTTCCATCATCCATACTTTCTTAACGAAAGATTTTGACATACAAAGAAACATGTCATAGAATTTTCTGTTGATATAGTATTGTATCCGAAATATCAATTGAAAAAAAATATGAATGCATCGGAAATATATATATATATATATATTTTTTTTTAAATTAAAGCTTCCTTTGCACGTTATGCTGTTTGGATCTAGAAACCCCAGCTTCTTGACTCTATAATCCTTCATATAGACAGAACCAAATTAAAAAGGTTGTGGAAATAAATAATTGAAACAACTAATAAAAGATCAAAACTTTATAGAAAAGAAAAATGAAATGTCCATCTAGCTGCAAAAATTAAATTACACAATACACTATGAAATTTACAGTCCAAAAAAAAAAAAAAAAAAAAAAAAAAACCAACTTGGAATATCAAGAACTAAATTGTAAAGACAATAAGTCCATTGATTGTATATTGTGTAATGTGTAATCACCTAGCAACAGAGACAGTCCAGGGAGTGATAAGCTGATCCTCAGTGGCAAAATCCTCACCATACACGTCCTCAACACCACCACCAATAGCAGCCTTGTTATCTAAATCAACACCGTTCGTCATTGTACTCTCCATCAAAGCACAAACCCTTCTCTCTGCTCTACACAACACTAAGTTCTGCAAAAAGCTAACACAAAGCTAAAGCAACCAAAAAAACCCAGAAAGCAAAAGCACCTAAAACAAAGTGCGTTGTTATGTTTTACTGAAACGAGGGAAACCCGTCTTTTATAAGCAAGCTAGGCAAGAAACTTAAGCTATTTTAGTTATGGAAAGTTGAAAATGAAGCTTCGTATCAATGTCAAGAGCAATAAGATGGACTGCCCACGTGTAAAATTTGGTTCACTGAATCAACGAGACCATTGTTTACATTTCTTTAAATATAATACAATATTTTATTTTTTTTCTAAAACGAACAGTTGAAAAGTGGGAATGGTTAATGGTTTATAGTTTGTACCAGAAAATTGCGTCTTTTTAGTAAAATCATCGTAATGGAGTTGGAGGAACGTGGAAGGACTGAACCAATATTTCCATTCTCCGCGTTTTGGGAGAGAGAAATTGGTTGGTCCACCTATGTGGGAAGAAAGAGATGAAGTGAGAAATGAAAATTCTGAGTTGAATTTTTGAGAAACTTATCTATTACGTAAGAAACAGACCATAAAAAATTCTCTAGTCTTTTTCACAACAAAATTAGACCCTTAAAAAACGTCAATAAAGTGATTTGATTTGAAACTAAAATGGTTAATAAATTTGAGTAAAGATCTTCGTTTCAAGAATTGAAATGGCAACAAGGCTCTCCCCAAACTTCCATTCTTTTTGTATCTCATAATTAGTACTATTATTATTATGCAAGCAAAGGCAGAGCATAAGATCACAGAACACATGACTTGCCATCAACATTATAATTGATTTTCTTCTCTTCTGTTTTCTCAGCCACTGATTTTCAGATTCATCCAATGGGCTCATCTTGTATTTTCAACTTTAATGATTACCACCACCGAGCTAGTTTATATGTACTCATACTAGAATTAATATTACTTCACAGTAAAAGTAAACCATTTTCATTGTTGTTGGTGAGTTCTCTTTTCTATTTATTATTAAAGAACGAATTTTTACCTCATCTTTGAGAAAAGAATTTGATAGTTGGTGTGTTGGTCAACGAAAAGGGTCCGGAGAAGGTGAAATTCTTTGAACACCGACTTGAATTGACAATTATATATCATGATTCATGTATGGTTGGACCTGGTCTTTTAGATCAAAATACAAGTTTTGACTAGGAACCCTGAACCACTTTCAGATTATGAATTATTTATTGCTGGCCTTCTCTTCAACAAAACAAGCTAGAAAAATCTATAATGCGTTTAGGTATTCCATTTTCACCAAACGAAAGTGAAGTCTTCTTCAATTCCATTTATTTTATTTGAACTTAATCAATTAAAGCTGGAGGACACAAACTGGTCAAGTAAATAGATTGATAATGTCAATTGTATTCAAAGTTATTTGTGTTTTATTCGGCCAATATTATTATTATTATTCCGTGCATATGAGTGCTCTTAAATCTTCATTAAATATAGATCATTATCAGAAAGTCGACCTTGGTGGCTCCAGGCTTCAAATCTTCATGAAGACAATCCCCAAGAGAAATTCTTGGTTTTTGATTAAACCAAACAGGAACCGGTCAATATTTTGATCATCTGATCTGGGTGCCATATTTTCTAGAGACTTTTCAATGACTTTTATGCAGAAATATGTATCAAACATGAATCATCAAGAAGGAATAAGCGAGTGCGTTGCTGTTGTTATTTACATATGAAAAGAAAAAAAGAAAAAAAAAAACTTTTGACTGTTTGCCTATTTCTTCTAGATGTATTATTGAAATTTAATGAAACCCAATATTCAAAGTCTTTGATGACACCTCATTGGGTACGTAAACAAAACAATACAATTGGAGTATCAAATTTAGGGTTGATAGATGGGAGTGAAAAAGAAGAAACAAACCGGTTGGTCTGACACTTAAAGAGGTTTATTTCATTTTTTAAGTTTCTTGGTTTAAATTTTAGGGTTACCTATCATAATAATATTATGATTTACCTGGTCCTTTAGGCTTGTAAGGTGTTTAATGAATTCCGAAAATTAGTTGTAATACACACAAACTGGTCTGTACATCCTGATTATAAAAAAAAAAAAAAAGGAAAAACATTAAATTCAATGAAGCTATTATTATGTCCTATGAAGTAGAAGAACAAACAAAGAAACAGAGGATGGAGCCATGTGAAGAACAAAGTAAGTAGATCATGCAAATTATTATTATTGATACTTCAGAGAATGACAAACTTATAGTACAACAATTATACATATAGATGAACCCACCCAGTTGGTTATATTATTAAACATATTCTGACAACATTATACTAAAAATAAAAAAGAATGAATCAATAATTTATTGTGCAATTACTAGTTGTAAAGCACGATAGAACCTTAGGCTCTAGCCGTAGAAAGGTTTGACGGCAGCCCAAAGTCTGAAACCCGTGGCCTGCCCCAGTTCCTGGCACCTGAATTCTATCAAGTCTAGCCAAGCAAGCTATATAACCCAAAAGAGATAAAACGACACCACTTTGTTTTTTGTTCTTTATTTTATTTATTAAACCATAAATATAGAGTACCATAAAACCCAAAACAAGAAAAAACGAGAACGCACACACAAAGGGCGCCTAAAAACCATTCTCTTCAAGCTTAATACTTAATCTGTTTGTCTGAACCTAAAAGGCTCTAATTTCTAGGGTTTCCCAATTCAATCACGTTACTACAAACTCAGTCCTCAGACATTCTTCAATCATTTGTATGCCCAAAAAAAATGTAATTTAATTTCAGAATTTTATAAAATAAATAAATAGTTAGGGTTTTTCTATTTCGTGGTTGTAGTGTTTATGGATCGTCTCCGACCTAGACAGAGGCCGGTGTTTACTGGCTTCACTGAACCTGAGGTAACAATTCGTGTTGCTCTCTCAGTGTCATTTCCTTATCTGGATTTTGATCAATTCTTTCAATTATGCACAATGCGAGTTATTATAAGTTAATGTAGGCTTAATTCTTCGTGACAATGTGATGGCTATTGTTTAATCATTTTAGAATATGACATTTTTTTTTGTTTGATTGAAATTTATTCATTTTATCATTAAGCATTGTGATATGTGATATTGGCTGTTAATGTTTGCTCAGTTTCTTAGTGGGTCTGGGAATTTTTTGGACGGCATTGTCAATTTATTTTAGAATGAAAAGCTTTGTGGGTTTGTGATTGTGACGCTTTCTACTTGGGAGTTGCATTAACTGTAACATAATAATGTTGACAATTCCTTTGATGTTTAAGATTTATATCAATGTTCTAATTCTCTTGGGTTTGGTTCAATTGTGTGTAGTATGATGCATTTGTATATTTACTTCAAATTCGTGTTTCTTTTAACGTTTTAATACTTTTAAGAGTTTATATTTTGAAATGTGTCCATGCTGTTCTATGAGAAGACTTACTTCACAATCTTTAGTTGGAATTCTCATCTTAATTGTCGAAATTTCTGTCATTTCATTCGTGATAATGCTTTATGATAAATGCCACAGTTAATCTGATTTTGCCTTCTTTCTATCATACAGGTTGAGAAAATGGAGAAATTGTTGGTAGAATCAAAAGAAGAGTTGCTTAGCAAGGAATTTTGTCAAAAAGTTGCAAAAAGTTTTAAGTGAGTGATTCTTCATATATATCCCTTTTTTTCTTTTTTGAGTCTAATTAATTGGTTACGAATTAAAATGCATATATAACCTTGTAGGAATAGCATATATCAGAATTAACTCCTTTATTTTGGTCTATCATGTCTTTGCAGTATCTCAGCTGGTCGTGCAGGGAAACCTATTATTAAGTGGACACTGGTACTGACATTTTTGCTAAAATATCTTCTTTGCTTATTCACACTAATGTCTTGATATCTTCATTGTTGGTCTTACTGGCCCTGCTATTCTAATTGTAATATAATCTTATATTTAACTGTTTTGTAATTGGCCTAATATAATGATTGCCTTAGGTGCATAGTTGGTTCAAAAGTAGGCAACAAGACAACCCATCTAAAATTGCTTCTTCAGCTAATGTGCCCAAAAAAAAAGTATTGTTTGTACCAGAAGCTTGCCCTCCAACTAAGGAGCGTGAAAGTTCACAAGAACCTAGAGGTGCTTTTCTAGATATGATTATGAAACTTTTGGACATTGGAGTCAAGGTTCATAACTACACATTTCTTAATAGTTTCTAATATTAGTTGTATGCGTACTTACATTCAGTTTTTCAATAGAATTCTATTCCATTCATTTTGCAAATGTATAACCAAATTTGTTAAAAAAAATTTGTAGACTTATTGTTCATAAAATTATCTTGAAATGTTATATGGTAGAGCATCATCTTAAATCTGCAGCATTTTGATTTGCCATGTTCATAATATTTGGATTTTCATTGTTGTACATGTGTGCTGTTGGAAAGAAATCATTACATCTGTCTAGGTTGTTGAGATAAATGCAGATTGTCTTTAACAATAATAATTGTAAGTGAGAAAGAAGAGGATTATAACTTGCTTTTGTTAGTATAGGTTCCTAATTAACTAAGGAAAGAGAACTCTTGCTCTCCAGAGACCTCTACTCGTTTTGTCTAGTTCACCCTTTCTTTAATTTTTACATTTGCACCAGCTTAATTTATGAGTTTGATAAATATTTAGCTTCCTTACTTGCTGTTTATTGCCAACTTGCGAATGGTTCTTGACTGGATTACTCTAACTATTCACTGGAGATTTCATTTACTGATTGCTACTATGTACATTATACTTCTAATTTTTTTCAGAAGCAGGAGAAAAGCTCTCAGATTTATCAGAATTGGAATTTGAGGCTAGGTCATCAAAAGACGGGGCATGGTAAGCATAAAAATATTAAGCAAGAGGGTTTAAGTCATTACTTAAATGTTTGGATGCATCTGGGCTTGAAACCTATTGTTGCCTATTGGTATTAGTATATCTTAAGGTGAAAGCATGAAATTGTAGTTCACAATAGCATGTTGATGCATAAGCATTATGTTTATGTTTGAAAATATGAAAATGAATAGGAAATATAGAAGAGGAAGTAGAGAAATAAATGATAGTATACCTGGAAGTACATTATCTGGGCGCTTTAACCTTGACGATGCTACCCAAGATGCCAAAAAGATGGCTAATGCATTGTCTCTGGAGTTCCGCTCTTTTTACTTTAGATATTTTATTTCTCCTCGGGATTCTTAAATTGTGCACCTATCATCAGCAGCAACTGCATTTAATTGCCAGCCTGCCAATATTTTTTTTGGGTAGCTTGCTTGCTTGCTTCATTCAAGTTCATAACTTTTCATAAAATTCCAAAAGAAGTACATAATCTATGGATTGCTTTGTCATCTTTGGAGCTTGATCTTTGTATAATTATTTTGACTTTGCAGGTATGACGTTGAGATGTTTCTTGCTCACAGATTTATTAGTTCTGGCGAAGCTGTAAGTATTAGATCATAATATGTTGCTGTCCCTTTTGGATTACTGTTGCTTTTATTTTTGCATAATGTTAAAATTTATCATAAGTGACTGTAGTTTGATCTTTTATCAAGGGGTTATATTGACAATAACTTAAGTTTTTTTTTTTTCAATATATTCAATTGATCAATTTTGCCTTTTTTAAAGGAAGTTTGTGTCAGATTTGTTGGATTTGGGGCTGAAGAAGATGAATGGGTTAATGTAAAAAAGGCAGTGCGAGAGCGATCTGTTCCCCTGGAGCATTCAGATTGTCATAAGTTGAAGGGTGGAGATCTTGTTCTCTGCTTTCAGGTGATTTTGAATGCATTGATACCCATGAATACTACGTGAAAGCTTTTTCTTTTTTCCCCAATATTTCGCAATACATCTGATGTCTGGCAATGTGGTTGAGTTTTAGGAGAGGAGAGATCAAGCAATATATTATGATGCACACATTGTAGAAATTCAAAGAAGAATGCATGATATAAGAGGTTGCAGATGCCTATTTTTAATCCGATATAATCATGACAACACTGAGGTAAGAATTCCTTTAACATTTCTAGCCCTTAATTTCAATGGTTGCACCCACTTTGCTAGTCTTTTTCAATGTTTTCCATTTACCAGGAAAGAGTTCGTTTGAGGAGGTTATGTACAAGGCCTACATTTTAGACCACTTCTGCAATGTTTCGTGTGAATCTACAGCTTGATGGTTTTTATACAACATATGACGATGATTTGAAAATATAATCATTAGATAGTTTTCTTATAGTTGTAGTGCAATTATTTTCTTGGATGAATAATTATTATCATTAGATTTAATAAATTTTAAGACATAATTGATAACTATCAAAGAATCAGATGGTTTCACCACCATTCTGAAACTCAAGCTACGGTAGAGTATTTATTCACTCTTGTATTAGTATATCCCATGTTTAGCAATACCATTTGCCTCTAGGCCGAGCAAATCAAAGAAAAAAAATACATTAAAATGCTCGTATAAAAGCCTGATTGTTCCTTGACAAAATTAAAATGGTAATTGAAATTTTGATTTGCAATATTTAAATAAAAAGAAGCTCCAACGACATGCTTTACTTATACCCAAGTATTAACCCATTTGACATATTTTCAAGGGTTTATTTTATTTTGCCTAACTATAAGAACACTTAGAATTAAATTCATCCGCTTAGTTAAGAAAGCATCAAAAACCCCCTTAAAAATATTAAACCCATTACAAAACTCTCAAAAAACCCCTAATAGAAGATAAACTTTCTGAAGGGAGTGGCGATCTCAAGAGGAGAAATGAAATGAACTCCATTTTTCAATGCATAAACGACAATCATTCCAATAAAAGCTTTATTTGCTAAAATAACATGTTAAATATTCATAACCCAGATCTCCATGAAGCAAAGAAGCATCTGCCGTATCAACTAAAGCTCTGAAACAATCAATGGATCACTTAATGGTCAAAGAGGAATGAAGCTCAACATGAGTTCTTGTGTTCGAGACTCTTAGACACTAATAAAGATGATTACTAAAAGGATTTATTTGACCAATCACTTCAAAGTCTCAGAGAATTAGTTCAGATGTCACAAACTGACCATATATCCCAATCACCCAAAAAAAAGAATCCCTAAAACTGCAAATTCTGCTCAATGCAAGTGATGAAAATATTAAATAAAAAATAACTTCAAGACCTCAGAAAATTAGTTAAGGTGTCAAAAGTGCCACAAACTGGCCGTACACCCCGATCACCCAAAAAAAAAAAAAAAAAGAAAACTGCAAACTCTGCACAGTGTGAGTGGTAAATATATTACCAAAAAAAAAACCAAGGCAGGTGGAACTATAGCATTTCATTTTGGAAAAAGGTAGCCAGTCACGCGTATTCAACTTTCAAGTTAGCCTACACAGCAACTAAAACAAATAATTTGCTCATGCAGGTTACAAACTCACTGAACACTGTTAACCTAAATGCCACATCATAGTGGATTAGATTTCATCCATAGCTCCATGTTAACCTATTCTATACAATGTGAACGGTAACCCTAGAGATCCTTAACTGTGCCATTTCTAATTGTAAGTTCAACTTCAATAAAAAAAAAATTTAGCAAACCATAGAAGTTTTCATGTTCAACAATTCTAAAATTATAACGAATATCTTCCCTTCGCTAACTCATACTGAAACCGCGAAAAATATCATGAGCAAGGTCCAGTTAGTCGGGTACTTCAGCATCTGTATGGGGTGCTCCAAGCAAAAAGAATGTTGCCATTATTTGCCACTCTATAGACCTGCAACTCAGCGAGGAAAATAGGGCACTAATTTAAGCTATACTTTGAATAAAATGAAAAACACTAGTTATGGAGTAACCAGAATAGGTATCAGACTAAGTATGCGAACATGTAATTACTACTCTTACAAAATAAACATTAGTTCTGACTTACCAGAATCGGTGTCAGACTAAGTATGCGAACATGTAATTACTACTCTTACAAAATAAACCTTTGTTCTGACTTTCAGTGGTATGAAAGACACATGCCCTTATTCCGTGGCTTGTGCATACCCAAAGGCAATGTTACCCCATTCTAGGAAAAATGTTAAACCCTAAGAGTATATAATAACTAGAAGAATTTGCACTTTGCCATCTCATCGGTTAAGAGTTCTTTCCAACATGACAGTGCAAAAGGCGCAGAAGAAATGAAAAAAAGAACAAGGTGTTCTCTCAACATCTTCATCACACTAAACGGCTCTGATGCACAGAAGTTTAGGCAAACAATCCTAAGAAGTTGAAAGTTTAAATCAATAGATTTTTGCATTTATTAAAAGATAAATTCAGTATTGGAAAATTCATGTTTTCCTTAAAAAATGAACATAAATTTTTTCATACTATCATGTTATGGAGACTGAATTACGCAGACAATTAATCATAAATATGGTAGTAGTGAAAATAATTCAAATGTAACTAGAAAGGCATAATTCGGAATTTAGTAAACACAGAAAACGGGAGTCTCAGAAAAGATAATAACATATATTGAAGTTTGCATTTTACCCATAAAGGATGAGGCAAAATCAGTCCAATACTCAAGAGTTAGGAGATGGCTCACACTTTCTTCCATAGCTCATTAGACCATCATGGATAGTCTATTTTAATCAGCACAGGTTATCAATATAGACCCATTCAAATTCCATATGATGTCTAAGCAAACCCCGAGTATGATCACATTTTCCTTCTGATTCTGTGTCCACAGTCCACACCACATGAAATAACACAGAACACGCAGCTATGGACTGGATGAACCCACTGTTAAAGCACTGCAGAGACAAAGGAAAAGGCTGGAGCTTACCATGGTAGCAGAGTGAGTTTCAAGCTTCCCCTGAATATATAAAAATAGTAATAAATAAAGTTAACCACAATGAAGTTACTACTCAACAAGAAAAAGTACACATCGAGAAAATGTTACATTTTGCAATTCAGAAAAAGTACAACTTAGATTCAAGTCAGAAACTTTAAATGAAACTTCCCAACAATCATCCCAGGGCTTACCGACTTGACTTCTGTTTGGTTAGTTGGTACCTCAAATTTTTACATGGGTGTTAAGAGGCCTTGCATACGGTGTCTGCTTCCAAGATCTTGACCAATATTGATAACTAGTACTAGATAAAACACAGAAACACTAGTGGGAAAACATAGTCAAGCCTTTTTATGCAAACAACATTAGACAAACAACCAGCAAATGGAGAAAAACTGGCTAACCACATTCTAAAACTGGACAGGAGACTCAGAGTGTGGTCTAGAAAAAGCCAAACTTGTTTAATCTAACACAATACAAGCTTATAGCGACTATTCTGACAAAAAAATTATCACATGCTTACACCAAGAAACCCAGAAGCCAACGCAGTAAATAATCAATGATTGAACATCTTTAAGTACACTAACTTTCTCCATGAAGAGGCTTACCCCCAAGAAATTTGCAGTTTTTTCGAAGAACAATGACCTTCAGCTTATACGATTTATGAGGAATGAATTATACAAAAAAGAAAAAATGCACAGGTGAAAAGGTCTGCACTTAGGAGAGAAGGGGAATTGAGGATGGGACTACATCAATAGCATGTTTGTGCAATTAAACAAGAGTTCCATTTATTCAGACAGATCATGAAACAAAAACACTCTGTAAACTTGACGTTAATGCAGATATATGCATAAAATTATAACATAGAAATTGATAATAATAAGCCATTACAAAGTGTTGCTTCAAAGTATACAAAATAGAAGACATTCTCTCTGTCTTTCAGGTCAAATTGAGACACCCCATAACCAAGCCCAAAAACAAGGGAAAAAGAAATGACTACAGACTGAATGACTGTAGTGTCTAGAACACACTGCAAATCATTGTTGCAGGTTCACAACATACCATTAATAATGAAAAACCTGTGCACATGCCTTCAATCAATCAAGTAATTATTGTTCAAAACTATACAAATATGTAGAATTACCGATCCAAATGGCCGTGAGATATCTAACATGGGCACATAAGCATTTCAACACCATTGAAAGACAGTGCACAGGTGATTGTACTAGATGCTACATGATGGTGACAATAAAGTATAAATTTTGCATACATCAACTCCCATTGCGGTGATCAGTCAACTTGGCTACAGTGGATCTTAGCTTCTTAAAAGGGGTACTGGATAGTGACTGCTGTTTGCAGTTATACACGTGCACAAACAGCCAAAATGTGTGGCATTCCAACAAAACTTTGATGGTTCATGAAACAGTTCGACCATAGCAAACGGATGCAATATATAGATTCTTTGCCCATTTCTCCTGCAAAAGAAGCCTTGTGTGAGTAGTTGTGCTTCTAGAAAGAAATTTGAGTATTGAAAAAAGCAAAGAGATAGAAAATAGCTCAACATAATTATGTAAAGTAAACAATGAATTTGAATGGTCCACCTTAACATGAGTACTAGGAAAAGCAGAAGTCCGTAGAGTCTCTTGAGTTTCATCGGCTGGCTTTCGTCTTGGAACACTAAGAACAAAAGCAGCCTGGTCCCAAGTCGCTGCAGTTGATGTGATACGGTAACCACTATCCCACCTCCGATGAATACCTTCACTAGGATACAGAAAATCTAGTTCCACAACCTGCAGTTAAGAGCAAAAGAATGTTATATCAGACATCTTTCTAGCCACCACAATGCGTTCAGCTTGTGAAGACAGTTGCAAATCCCAAAAGAGACCTGGTCAGAAAATCCTGCACCGCGAGACATAACAATTGCCCATCTACTTCCAGCTGTGGCCATAGCAGTGACATAAAAACCCTCCCTCCATTTTTTATTGATCCACTTAAACGGAAACGAATCACTGACTTTGTAGGATTGCTGCAAATACTGGGTCCCTATACAAAAAAGAAGAACAAAATCTTAGTAAGGAATAAAAAATATTTTGAGTCACATTAACTTCACCAATAGCGAAACTAACCTTTAGACATTACAACCAATGAGCTACCATTATTAGCTCCTGCTATTGCACTGATGTAGTAGTTTTTCTCCCATTGCTCCATAATCCATTCCTTCAAGATATGAACAAAGTCACAAGGTTTTTGTTTATAACAAAATGCTGAAGATTTGATATGACTAGCATTTAATGGAACACAAGCATAACCACCCTCATCGCTTTGTAAAAAATGCAAGATGCAATACACATCCCTAAAGATTAAAAATAACTAGAATTTATATGGAACACAAGCAACCTTGTGAAGGAAGTAGGGTGAGAGTTCATAAACTTGAGCAGTGAAGCCGGTGCCTGCATCCATAATTAAAGCCCACAGATTTGAACACGAAGCCACGCTACTGATAAATAGCCCATCTTCATTTCCTTTCTCTATATGTTGGGAGAGCCTCCCATCAGCTACATTATAATGATATCTACACAGAAGCAGGGGGAAATCATCAGTTTTCTTTACCCCTCTATCACTAACTTGAAGAACTTGAGAGTTGACTTCAAGTAAATACCTTTGCTTCATAGGCCGACGAGCATTATAAACACTAATCCATTGTGTTGCAGGCATCCCCATGCGAACCTTCTTCTTTGGCTGTTCATCTTCTTCGTCCTCAATTGTCAGTCGTCCTCTCTTATGTCCTACCTGATATATAAGCTTCACGGCACAAATATATACATCAAATAAAATCCAAATCAAGACAAAAAAGAAAAATATTTATAAAAAAGAAGAAGCTCATTAGTCAGAGAAAGACAGATGCAATCAAACTACCTTCTGTGCACCATCAGTGTTTATTGGCCGAATATCTGGATTTGGACCAACAATTCCATCGAAAAGGGAGATATATTTTGCATAATTGGGTTCCTCATCAAACTTCAAATTCACCACATACTCAACAAACTGCCGAAAAGGCTGAGGGCAAAAGCAACACAAAGTTTCTGCGGAAGTGGCCATCTTCTTCTTGCACACAAGGAATCCTTTACTTTCCCCCTAGAAGAAAACACTTGATTGGAGTGACATACAAATTAATCAAAGCATAACACCAACAATTTAGAAATTGCAAACCTGATATCCTTGCCAAGGAAGTCGGCCGCGAAGAAGAAAAATGAGCGTGTATGCAAGAGACTCTAGGTCATCTCTCCTGCTACCAGTTCTACCAAGATGAGCATGCACACTAGCATAGCGCACTGTTCCTCTGCACCACAGAAATCAGAATGCACCAGTAAATCATGGTCAATAAAACAACATTTAAGAAACCTAAGCTGTAACTATTATATGAAAACAGATTCAATATTACCTGAAAACATCTGGACGTTGGTCATATTCAACATGTTGGCCAGTTGAACTATCTCGCCACCTTGTAGCTGTAACACAAAACAGACAACAAGATGATACATTGTTAGGTGTACATCTATAACATAACACAGACGACAATATGAAACATCATTAAGTATACAACATTCTGCACGAAGAAGACAGTATCTGTCACATCTTACCTAGCCCAAGGTCAACAAGAAAAAGCTTTTTCTTGTCAGGAGTTCCTGGGGGACCAAGCAAAAAGTTCTCAGGTTTTACATCCCCATGCACATATCTGGCAAAGATAAAAACTGTAACATCATATTCAAAGCACCAATACACAGCAACAATAGGTTGTAAAAGAATGGACCATCACCGATCTTAATTGGGCATTAATGGATAAACTGAAAGAAATATCATAAACTAATAAGAATTATCACCCTCTAGAGTGCATCTTCTCTAAAATGGAGATTGCTTCAATAGCAATACATGCAACCATTTCAATTGACATCCTGAATAGAAAAGCAGAAGTAAAACATTAGATCAGGATTAAGTGGCCCACTCAGTGAATAGTTTTGGATTGAATAACATTCTGCTATCAGTTTTAAAAAGAACTTACGTATGTGAATTGTTATTCCAAACATCCCATAAACTAGGTCCAAGCATATCCATAACCTGTATGCAATATTGGATTATAGTATGAAATCATTCCACATGCATAAAAATAAAATTAAAATAAAGCCTCTTGGTCTCATAATAGGACAGTATTAAAGCAAGGACATACCATGACATAGTAGTCACCTTGCCGGCCCTTGAAATGAACTCGTGGCACACCATGACTGCCACCAAGTGCACTGTTTAAACAGCAAAAAAAGTGAAAGTTTATCCTCGCATGTAATTTTTACAATAATTACACAATACATGGAAAAGAATACAAAACAAGATAAAACAGAAGTCTCACTTGTAAACTTGCCACTCATAAGGCGGTCCATAATTACACCCTTTACTACTTCTATGCTCAAATTTTAAGGCTACCTAGAAATTCACAGAGAAAATGTAAGTGCATTGCTCTTGTAATTCAAAACAAAACGAAACAAAACAAAAGCAATATTAGCAATCATGTCACACCTCTAAAGCTCCTGGGCCAGTTCTCTCAGTTGTTGGACTAATCCGCCGACCAACATACACTTGCCCAAAGCCTCCTTTCCCCAGTTTTCTTTCTATTCTGTACATTGGGGAACCGCCAACCTGGACCTGTTCTCATGAATCAAAGTATTAGAACACCATAATGACAGCCCAATCTTTTCAGTTCTCCATAATTCCTAATTGCTATGACTTATCTTCACAATGCATTTTACTTCTCAGCATAAAAATATTTGAAAGAAATAATAATAAGATTTTTTTAATAATATTCATTATTCATATATATTAATTACCGCTAAAATTCCAAAGCAACACAAAACACGACTAAAACAAAATGAAAATGAAAATCGTTATTTTCCACCATTTTCACAACATTTCTACCAACCATCCAAATAAGATTAACAAAAATGTTTAGAAAGTGGATGAAATTGTTAACCTTCTCGGGAAGAGGAGCTGTGCTTCCTTCGTCCTCAGCTCCGGCACCCTTATCTGCGCTACGGCCACCGCTGTCGTAGTCATCCATCTTTTTCTCAGCAACTTCTTCTACCAAAACCCTAACCTTTTCGTTGTCCTTCAACGGCGTTGTTTCCTGAACGTTCACAATATTATTATTACCGTTCTTCTTGTCATCAACAGCGACGATCGTCCTGCGTTTCGTCTTATTCTGTACGGTTCTCCTTTGTTGTCGAGTTCGAACAGTCAACTTCTTCCTGTTATTATTATTGTTATCGTTAATATTATTGTCGAAGTGAGGTTGTTGGCTTGGAGCAATTAGTTCTGGATTCGGGTTCGGGTTTTGGTTGATGGAGGCCCGATATCTGCGAGCTCGGCTGCTCAGTTCAGGCATCGTATGGACTTAGTTCATCCATGAAGGAGAAGATTCACGAAACTTCTAGAATCATCGTCCAGATTCGATTCAGTGGTCCGGAAGATGACGACGACGACGCCGCGTTTGCTTTTACAGAGATGCGAATGAGAATGGAGAGAAAAAATTAGGGTTTTGAGAGTAAAATTTTGGAGATCTGTGGAGGGAAATGAAAAGAAAGAGATTCTATTAGCCCACACACAGAGATGAGAGAGTTTTTTTTTTGGGTTTTTTTTTTTTTTTTTTTTAAATTTGAGTGCAGGATGTATGTAAAAAGTCACACTTTAATTTTCCAATAATGTATTTTAATTAAGTTTAGTGATGATAATAATTTAATTAATATTTAAATAATCCCATTCTATAAATAAACTTGTGAGGATCAATGTAAATCCAATAGACATAGCATAAACAAAAGAAAGACTTGGTTGGCGAAATGCCAAATTTCCCTCGGTAGTTATATTATATTATAAAATATGTGCATGCAAAGGTAGGGTAAAAGACGGTGCACGGTGACTAATACTACACCAAACAACATTTTTTTTACAATTTTTTTTTTTTTTATAATCAAGATGTAATAATTCGTAATTAATTAATGAAATTCATATGAGATTCATGTGAGACTCGTTGGTATAATATTATTCTACACGGATAAACGTGTGTTGGAAAATGATGATTAATTTTGGCTTTTATTTTTATTGAGAATGAAGAAAAGTAAAAAATGTCAAAACAAATTATTTGAAATTTTGGAGAAACTGTTTAAACCAACTTTGAACATATGAAAAATTCCATTTGAAGCAAGCAGCCATTAACAATCTATATTAGGTTTAGATTTTGGTATGATGGGTTGGCTATTTGGGAGATGACACGTTATGGGGAATAAAAGGAACTTTATGGTAAGGGCTAATGGTAGAATTTATCCTCCAGCCATATAAAGTGTTACAACTTTCAAAAACAAACCAAATTGATAAAGATGTATGTGAAGACGACGCATCCATTCTTGTATTTTTTTAGGATTCGTCGACCTTGGGACTTTAATTAGCAGAAAATCAGCTTCTAAATAAGTTTTTTTACATTAAAATTAGTGAAAATTGGAAAAGAAATTAGATGGTAGATGGCATATCAAAGCAACATGAATACATGTTTATCATGCGGCTGGTAATTTGTATCCAATTGAGCCTAATTAAAAAAAAAAGAAAAAAAAAAAGTAGGGATTAGGTGAAAATGGTTTCCAATATTTGGCTTGGAAACTAGAGTATTTTTCTCAATAAAAATGAGTTTATAATAAAGATGCATACTTCCTGAATCAGAGTCAACAGAATTTGTCTGCATCTATCAGTCTTTGATCCAAGCCATAACAGGCTCTTTCCAAGTCCCCACCACACGAAACATTTTTGAAAAGGATAACTCAACCCAATTCTCTAACTGAGGCATCCCACTTCATCATCTCAACCCAAAGTTCGTTTATGGGCTTCAGCCCAAACATTGGCATCGAGGACCCAAATCTAAACAATCCCCAGTTTTAATATATCATTTGTTCATTTTTTTTGGTGTGCTTAAAATAGATCCATATGATGGATCAAACCAAACCAAACCAACCCTATAAATATTAAAGCCATATCGGACCAAATTATAGCGCGATGTCTGGGTTCTGTCATAATCTTAAGGGATTTGACTCATGGGATCCAATTCACTAATTTGAAACATAATCATTTACAATGAGTTTATCATTATGTACATATAGGTGGAGGAACCACGGCCTGGCAGCCTGACTTATCCAGTGAACAACAACTCACTCTGTATCAGCCTGGGCTCGACCTATTAAGTTGTGTCACCGGTGTCACTGTAAATGAGCCCACAAGAGATATGTGCTTCTCCAGCTCAATTCAAAATCACTGCTTCTTTACTCCCGTTACCGCTTTATTGACATCACAGAAGACAAAGCTGATACGTACGTGGTCGACATGCCACGTCATCCATGTAGGTTAGCTGTTTTGCGGGTAGATTTCCATTTCTGCAACCTCAACTGCTTGTAAAACTTCTGGATAAACTCCTCAGCTTCCTTGTCCACGTGGCAGTCTCTGTCATCATCTTTCAACGGAAAGGGCGAGTCTCTGACCCTCACCCGGCGACTCACCGGTCCCACCAGAGGTGAAAACTCTGTCAAATCACACTCTGGAACTCCCACATCATCCTCACAAATGAGTGGCGGTGGCCGCGTTGCTGCGGCATGGTGTTTGCGATGATTGTACGGAAAAAATTGGGCTGTGCGCTTGCCGAAGTGCAGGTTGGGAATGTTGGGTGGAAAAGCTGGACTGTTACTGCAGCTGAACTCGTAGTCTCGAGGTGTTATGAAGGAAGCGTGCATGTCATGTGACCGGCAACTGAGTCTGAGGGTGGTATAATGGTGGATCATGAGATCGTTTAGAGCTTTCCCGACGATCTTGCCGCGTTGAACCAAGAGGTGGAGATCAACAAAAAGCTTGCTCTTTGTGACATCCTTTTGAACAATGAACAAAAGTAGACGCATCATTTTGCATAATTTGATAGGAATAACGGGTGGGTTTGGTTCCATTTTCATGAAACTTTGAGAGAGCGGTGAATACGGAGTAGCTTGCAGAGGAAAGAGTGACAACGAGAGGTATTTAAGGAGTGGAAAAGGTAGAGTGAAACCCCACAAGGCCACAACTAGAGAAAAATTTTAATTTCTTATTTTAAAATAACAAACTAAATTTAGTCATTGTTTTGTTTTGTGCTGTCTGTTTTTTGTTTGATATAATTTTTAATTTGTTTTTTAATTACATTATTTGTCATTTACCATGTGATTTTTGAGTTACGTACAGAAAAGTGCTTTAGTTTAATCCCTGGTGAAATATTAAATTCAGCGTTCAGGGTGAGGGCCCTGATTTTGATCGAATAGACAAATTTTAGTATACTTATATGATTATGGTTCTTCGGTTAGAAACTATGCAACTATTTTAGATATATTATTCAAGAGATTTTAAGTTTATTTTATTTTATTTTTTAATAAAGATGATCACTTAATAACTTTGTTGGCGTAAGCACCCTTGATTAAAAAAAAAAAAAAATTAAGAAACTTGGTTAACTTTAGAGTTTAGAGTACAAAGCATTAGTTAACTTTAGAGTCCAAAAATATTAGTTAAGGTACACCCAAGCATCCACCGTCAATAATATTATATACATATAGAAGGAATGTTGCCTGCATATGAATGTTGTAATCGTTGAGGTAGCCGAACAGGTTACCAAGTTATCATTGTCAATCCATAGTCTTTATTATTGCAAATTAAAAATGTAACGTGAAATTTGAAGGTGGTTAACTCGGGTGGGGTGTGGTTTTCTGTATTTTCCAAATTATATGTCGTTAAGCCGTTGAATCAATGTCCCTTAATTTCTTCCTAATAACTGACACATCTTTTTCAATGAGACCATACTAATTAATGAGCAATTGTAATATAGTTGTATTAGGTTGGCAGTAGCAATTAGACCTGGCAAAAGAGGGCCTATACCTGCAGGTCAACAGGTACCCGCACCTAATAGGCAAGTACGAGTATCCCTTTAAAATGCCCATTTCAAAGCTACCCGTACCTGGCCCTCCCGTGAAAATTGCGGGTGGGCTAGGTAATGCCCACGGGTACCGCACTTGAATTTAAAAACAAAAAAGCAATAATTATAATTCAAAATAAATGAATAATTAATCAAGTCAAAAGTCAAAACAAATTAACTAACCCTAACTCCCAAACTGGAAAAAAAAAATGCAACTTACATAGTCTCATTCTCTCAAACTCAATCTCAACTCTCTCGCGGAGTCACGCTCACAGCTCACTCACATTGACGCGAAACAACAGCAGCTCTCCACTCAATCTCATTCTCTCAAACTCAATCTCAACTCTCAATTCTCTCACGCTTATAGCTCACTCACTTTGACGAACGGTAGCTCCCAAACCTAGGTCGACGACAAAACAACAGCATCTCTCCTCTCACTCTCATTCTCTCTCAATCCGACGCCACCTCACTCGAACAACGGCGACTCTTACTCTCATTCTCTCAACAACAGCAACTCTCTCTCACGCCATCGGTAGCTCCTTTGTGCTTCCTTGTTGTATGAAAATGAGCAGCAACTCTCTCTTACGCCCAGTCATTCTCAGCGACAACTCTCTCTCATGCCATCGCTGCCTCACGCCTTCGTCGCAGCTCAATCTTCCAATCTCTGTTGCTGTCACGCCGACGCCATAGCCATCTAAGACTAAAAGTAAGGAATGTTGTTTACCTTGGCGATTGTTTGGACGTGATTTTGGGAGCAGTTGTGATCCTCTATGCTTCCTTGTTATATGAAAATGAGCAAGTTAAATATGTAGTTGTTTTCTGGGTGTCGATTTCTTGATAGCGTCTGCGCCATTTTTTGTCAAAAATATGGAAGTGTTTTCTCAATTGTATTAAAATTATTCAGGTTAGCGGTTGTATAGATAACTGTCTGTCATATTTGGAGATTATATTCATCTTGGATTTGTTAATATATTTTGCAAATTCAAAATCTATGTAGGAATGCAAATATGGAATCAAATTTATGTTTGTTTGTAGCCTATAGGCTATGTTTTGCCTTGCCTACCTGAGAGTTCAAATTAATTTAAATTATAAACTATATTAACTCTAAATGTTAGGTCTTCGATTTGCATGCCTAAATTGTAGCATGGGTTGATCTATTCTGAATATGTTAATTTTTAATAACTCAACATAGATGTAACTTATAACTACTGTTTTGTAGGTTAGTTTCATTTTAGAGTTCAGACAATACTGAGTTACAGTCTAAAATATGAATTATACCCAGGTTAGTTTGTCCCAAAACTTACTGTATTTAGTTTTTTGAGTTGAGTAGTGTTGACTGTTGAGTTGGGAAAATCCAGCCATTTGGTAGGGTTGGTTTGCTTGTAAAATATATGGGAGTGTTTTGTTTTTATTTTGGATGAATTGTTATGATTGGTTAATTAATTTAAATATAAATACTCTATTGTGTCCTTTAGATTGGCTTGGTATGGAGGAGTCTATAGACTTGTTTAATGAGGCGATAGAAACGGGTCGTAATGTAGCCGTATGTCAACCTCCTTCTAGTGGTAGTACTGTTTGTCCAAAAAAATGTAAAGTTTAAGATGTTTGGGGTCAATTTACAACATATATAGAAGAGAATGAGAATGTGAGGGCAAGGTGTTTGAT